AAATTACTATTAAAGAGATAAAAAACTTAATCTGTATTCGATAAAGTCTTTGTAAAAATAAATAAAAGTAAAGGGTAGGCTTTCTAGCTCATAGCTTGTTGCTGAGCAGCGTGTTCCATGACTTGATCGTCTGGAACTGCAAAAGATCTTTCAGTCGTACTAGCAGTTGGATCATCTTTGGACCAGGTGTTAGATTGCATATTTCTATTGTCAGGATGTTTGAACATACAGTTTTTATTAGTACAGTTTGCAGCAAAACGACAATCTTCATCAATAGGATGAGCGAAAGAGCAGTCAATTCTTTGACAATTAGCTCCTTCACGACATGGAACTGTTGACAGCGCATGTCTTCTTGGACAGGAATAATTAGTACATGCGAGACCAAATTTGCACTGTTCCAAAGTTCTTTCAACTTTATTAGCAACAGGTTTAGGTTTAGTTTCAGGTGGTGGTGCTTGATAGTTTGGAGATGGATGTGCTTTTTTACAAGCAACATCGCTGCAATGTTTACCAGCTTCACACCATTCTAATGCAATAACTCTTGCATCTTTATTAGCAGGGGTGGGATGACCAAATGGACAAACTTCCTTGGAACAAAGCATCCCGAATTTACATATACCAATGGTACCAGTTTTTTCAACAACTGGAGTACCTTGCATCATTAATTTTTTCTTTTCAAAGTATTCTTGTTTGGATTTTTCCAATTTGGCCATTAATTCTTGATCTTGATCAGGATGTAAATAATTACAGGTACCCGGTGGGTTTGGACAGTTTGGATAAGAGAAACATTGCTTAGTAGGATGAGCAAAAGTACATTCTTTATTATTACAATAAGGAAATTCGGAACATCTACCCTTAGGTGCTTTAGGAATGAAATTAGTATTATTTTGATTCGACAATGATAAAACTTTCTCGAGGTTTTCGGCATTTTGTAAACCATAAGACTTATTGTTCATTCTTCCATTGAACTGTTTACCAATACCTCCACGGCCTCCACGGCCTCCACGACCACCTCTAGAGTTATTATTAAACTTATTATAGGCATTAAAATCACGGCTTTGAGCAAAACGAGGTTTATTTGGTATAGTGGACTGCAGAGCATCGAAATTGAATTGCCCTTGTTGCTCCTGTTGCGCTTGTTGCTGAAATTGGGGTTCCTGTTGTTGAAATTGGGGTTCCTGTTGCATTGGTTCTTGTTGCTGTTGCTGTTGCTGGCCATCTTGGGATTGGTTTCCTTGTGACATCAATCTGGCGATTTCACCATAAACAGTATTGATGAAACCTTCATCAATTGGAATTTCAACTAACTCCTTGACTTCACTAACAATTTCGGCGGCAGTTTTTTCGTTTCCAATTAATACATTAATATATTCTGCAACATCTTCTGCATCATCTGGGATATTGTATCTGTTGGAAAGTTCATTTATCAATAGTGGTTTCAACTGTTGGGCAATAGGTCCATCTGGATTAAAAGACATGGTTCAGGTAATGCTCGTTTTAATAGGTTTAGGAGTAAGATGAAGTATTTGTAATATCTGTTTCTGATATCTTTTTTAAATGATGTTGAAAAACAGAGAAAAAAAAAAAGAAAAGAATTGATGGCAAATTCGAGGGTTCACGGCACGTGATTCAAACGGAATCCGAACATCCGTACACCATAGCCGTCGAAGTGATTGCAAAAACAGAGACCGATCTACAAATTACGATAAAAACTAAATATGCAATTTAAGCCCTATAAGAACCAGAACAATTAAATTCTAAACAAGTTGAAATATTTCAACAGTGATATCACCCAAAAGGTCCTTTATGAGCTCGATTATTTCGTCTAATTCTCTTGTGATGACAGAAGTCACTAGAATATACGAATACATGAAAACGTAGTCTTCATTGGTAAGAGTATGATTTGGATTAGATGCAGATTCGCTTCTTATTTCATTCAATTTATAAAGCAAACGGTCTTTAGCATGTTGTGTAGAAGCTGGTTTTGAAGGCAATGGGAACCCCAATTTCATGGCACTAGCTATCATATAAAAAATTAAAAAAATCCGGTGTTCGACTTCAGCCCGTTCAAGTGCAATATAATTGATTACGAACTCTTCGTTACGGCTTAAAAATGGGTCAACCTCAACCATAAGATTCATATTTTGAAACGCGTCTATAATAGCTGAGCTTCTTGTTATTAATTGTCGATAAGTAGATTCGGGAAAGCTACCTTTCAATCTAAATTCTAATGGTGCTTGTTTTAATAAAACCTCGCATTCGGCTAGTAGATCATTTATTCCTTTTTCATCTTTAAGACCTATCAACTTAATTATTTCTTCACCATCTTCATCAATACGCTTGGTATAATCCAAAGGATCGCTATTCCAGATAACACCCATTCGTAACCACAAAATAGTTAACCCAGATTTGAGTCTAGCTCTAGCACTATTTGGCAAAAAACAAGAGGCCATAATCAAAGCCCAAACAATACCAATTGAAACCGCTATGAATCTGTGAAAGGCAATTTCTTCAACAAGTGGATTCTCACCACCTTCATTGTCATCTTCAGAGTCTTGTTGGGTCATACTGTATGAATATAATGCAGTCAAATTATAAGTTAATAGAATAAATCTCCCGAAAGGGTTATTTCTCTTCCAATGAATAATTATATAAAAACTTGGAATGGATATAAGATACCCAATCAATGCAAGGGCATACGCATTTCCATCAGTACACATCCAAGTGATATAGGCAGAGCTTGCACCAAGAAAAGTTCCTATAAATCTCCATTTAACTGTCATGGTAGTACCACCAACAGACTTATTCATCATAATGCAATAAATCACTAATGCCCATTCACCTCTCCAATTATTAAAAACTTCCTTAGTCTTAGGATAAAATGCAAAAAAGGATAAACAAAAAGCTCCCAAACCAACTCTTATACCAAACTGAACATCAGTTCTTCGGAAAACTTTCAAAGCTTTCCACAATTCATAGGAGTAATTATCCAACTTACGTCGCGACCTAGTCTTTGGTACATGGTTATGGGTACGGTACTGGGATTGTAAATTAATTAAAGCTTCATTCAAAGTTGCTCCAAATCCATCATCATTTTCTGAATCATTACTTTTTGGGTCCAGATAGTTTGATTTGGATGGATCATTTGAAAATTTCCAAATTTTCAACCAATTCCAACTTTTAGGTGAACTTTTAGAATGTTCGTGATGTTCAGTTATCTTTAAGAATTTGATTAATTCTTTCCCATACAAAACTAATAAGGATGCAAAATTACCACAACAGGCAGTTATTTCTTCCTGATCAGCTTTTAAATCAAAATTATCGGATTTGAAAATATCTTGAGAATACAATTTGCTGAAAGACTCAACCTGTTTCGATTGAAACAAATCGATTGCTTTGTTCAAAGATTGTTGAAAATTTGAGGATTTTGTGAATTTGGTAGTTTTACTTCTAGAAAGTAACTCACTTATATTACGAAATTTATTCTGATCATTTGATTCAGCTAAATCATTTTCAAATGATTTTTCGAATGGAATCTCGGCTAGAACCCCTTTTAACGTAAATACAAAAGACTTTATGGATGGGGCTAGGTAATAAACAAACAAGTCAAATAACTGAGCAGAATTGACAGCTGTGTAATCAACTTGGGATATGTTCCACTGGTCTCTTGCAGATTTGATAGCTTCCATCATTTCAACTGATTTTGAAAGCTTATACTGGCCTGATCGTGCACTATTCGGAGAACTATTGATTGACGAAGAAGAAACTCCAACATTATTTACACGATTCGAGTTTGGAGAAGGTTGATTATTTTGAGAATAAGAATATGATGATACTTGGCTGTCAGTTCCATTGAATCCACTGGTTGAATTCATTGAAGGAACGCCGGGGGTCTTGGGAATATTTGGAGAATTTTCATGAAGTAATTGCCATTGCATTTCAGCTGAAGACCTCAAAGCTTGTAAATGTCTTGATAACGCAATTGTAGTGTTTACTAGATCATTATAAACCTTTAATTCCTCTTCTCTACCTTTCAAATTTAACTCATATTTAGCTTCTTCCAAATTTTTCTTTAACTGGGTGGTATTTTTCTTCAAGGTATTAAAAATTTCAACGTCCTTTGAATTTAATTTTTGACCCATTAAAAAATGATTTGCAATTACTGATAAGACCAGTGACATTATATTATAAGAATCGTTCAAAGATGACCTTAGTTGATCGACAGCACTTGTTGGCCATAAAATGTAGCAGCAAGCAACCGATATAGCACTTCCAACAACAACAACTTTAGCTGTAGAAATTAATCTTGGTAGAGGAATACTGGAAGAATTCAAGCTAGCTTCTTTAATAATACAAGTAACAACTGAAATTGAAGCCAACGAACAGGCGGTATTAAAAGTAGCTTTATTAACTTTTTGTTTCATGAATGCAATTAAACCCAAACCAATTGAACTTAAAATTAAATCAATGATATAACTGACTTCGTCTTCACCTTTATTAAACCAAAATGTTGATAATGATCTACAGCCAAAGGAAACGATAAAACTGAATAGTAAAGATATAACCACAAAAATTAAAGTTTGATGCATTGAACCTTTTGATCTAGCAGGATGGAAATAAACTGCCACTGTTGCAACCACATGTTTTGAGTCAGTTTTTCCTAGAAAATTATTGAAAGGAGTCCAATAAACACCCAAAGATGCTAATAAGTATGCAATAGAACATTTAAATACGCTAATGAATATTTCATTTTTAGGTAAATTCATGAAAAAATCTTTTAGATAATCTCGATAGTAATGATATAATTCAGCCAATGAAGAAGCTCGGGATATGCTCGAAGTTGAAGGAGGATGAAGTAAAGAAGTGGTTTCATCAGCTTGATGATTTAAAGATTCATTTTCTTGAAATGAAGTAAACGAATTATTAGTGTTATCATCATTAAATGAAGAATCATTTAAACTTTCAAAACCAGAATTGAAAAATGAAATACTTTTATGAACTTTTAATCCGGATCTAGCTAATATAACCAGATTTTGTTTCTTTAAGTTATTAATACTCTCATTTGGAATTTTTAATTTTGATAAAAATTCAATATCAGCATTGCTTGGAGTTAATTCGATCTCTTCATCAGTAAAATTTAATTCATCATCATCACTATTATTAGTATTCTCATTTATCTGGTCATGTTTTTGAGTTGGTGACATTTATAATTGGACTCACCTACTATATTATAAGATTTTTTATAATGATAGATATAAGTTAAGTATAAAAAAACCATTTCTCAAAAGAAGTATTTTTTTGATTAAACCTGAAGGTTGCGATATCTAATTACAGCACTTAGAATATCTCAATTTCGTTTGATGGGACACTGTTATTGGATACACTGATCGGTAGTAAGTGTTTTACTTAACAACATGGTCATTAGGTAATGAAATAAAATAAAAGAGAAATAGGAGTCAAAATTGTCATAAAATTAGCGAAATTTATAGAAAATGAGGGTTAACTAGAGGGTTACTTGAGCTCGTAATTGTTGCAAAAAGTACATTACAATTTATTTCATAAATGAATTAAAATTAATTAAATTAAGTTGGTAAGAACAAAACAAACGTTTTTCTTGTAAAATCTATATACGGGAAATAAGGAAGGACAGCATAAACTCATAAAATATTAAAAAAAAAAAAGAACATGAAAGAGAATGACTTAATAACCAATGATATCTTTGAATAACTTTTCACAAGGAACAGTGGCACCTAATCTAGCACAGAGTAAATAGACACCGCTTAATTTACGATGTAAGGAATAAGTTTCTTCAGGAGGAGGAGTTAAACGTTCATTTAACATGATACCAATGTTGGAACGAACACGATCGGTAATCGTTTGTTTTTTGAAGTTAAAAGCTTGACCATGATTATCATGAGGAGAAAAAACTTCACCTAAAACCATGATTGAATCGATATGAGCTTCAACCATGGAAGGACTTTCTAAACCAGTAAGATAACCCAATTTTCTAGAGTAATGTTCGACACCTTTACGATCTTTATTGACAGAAGCTCTTAAAACGGCAACATAATCTTCAATAAAATCATCACCGAATTCACGAGAAGCACCAAAATCTAATAATTCAATTTTACCACTTTCTTCATTATATAAAAAGTTAGCCCAATTTGGATCAGTTTGCATAAATTTAAATTTTTTAATTTCAGTTAAACATAATCTCATAATGTTGGTAGCAATCCAATTACGAGTATCTTGATCCCAATCACCTTTTACAATTTCGGTTCCCTTCATTTTTTCCATGGTTAAAACATGTTCACCACATAAATTATGATAAACTTTTGGAACGGTGAAAGCGGCATCATCTTTTAGTAAATCGCCAAATCTAATGATATTTTGAGCTTCACGAATGTAATCACATTCCCATTTTAATTCGGTACGAGCATTGGCAATGGTTTTATCCAAGAATAAACCCGCAGGTAACATTGAAGAAGCAGTCATCAACATTAATAAATTATTCAAATCGGAATCGATGGAATCAACCACCCCAGGATATTGGACTTTAACAACAACCAGAGTTAAATCTTCAGTGACTGCATTATGAACTTGACCAATTGAAGCAGCAGCAATAGGAACATCATCAAAAGAGGTGAAATTACGTTCACGCCAATTAGCCCCCAAATCACTCTTCATGACCCTTTCCAATTGAGCAGGAGGCATATAGTGAGCGGAATTTTGGACCCTCAACAAAATTTGCTGAATCTCCTTTGGTAAAATCGAAGAATCTTGGAAACTCATCATTTGACCAATTTTAAGGGCTGCACCTCTCATTTTGGAAAATTTTTTCGCCATTCTTTCGATATTGGCCGGACTCAAAATCAACGACTTCATGGAAACTTCGCCTTGATTACCACTAGCGTAGTGCTTGATACCTTGACGTGCAACGTCAATCCCCATTCCGGCAGCCAAACTACCGTAATGGAAAATTCTAGCCAATCTTGTGCTTGGAACTTCGGATTGAGACATTTGGTACTTGGTAACTGGTTTGCTGCCAGTTGGTTTACCAACTGGCTTACTTGGATGACTTTTCATTTCAACGGTTTGTCCTTCCACTGCAACTGCCACGGCACTTGCAGGAGTAGCACTGCGTTCATTGTTAAATTGTGAATGGGTAAAGGAATTGGTAGAGTAATGTCTCACCAGTCTCTGACGACTCTTTTCTGATTTGCTTCTAGCGTCTCTGTATAAAGAAGCACTGGAATCCAATCTTCTTATTGGATATAATAAAGCAGAGTGATGGTAAGCAAACTTCACATCTTTACAAACCACTGATGCACTCGAACTAGTCAACTTGGAAATGGAATTGGATATGGCTGCCAATTCAAATATCGATTTACTCGACATCTTGTGTAAATTCTATATGGTGAAAAAAAAAGCTGCTTTGAAATTTGATGATTTTCCTAAACTTAAGTAGGTTTTTCCTATATTTTTACCGGACGACAGAGAAATGCGAAGATGCGATGATTTGAATGCAAATCTAATAAAAACTAGATAAATAAATAGATAAACAAATAGATAAATGAATAGATAAATGAATAGCTAAATGAATAGACATATATCGAAATAAATATATAAAATATCAATCAGTAGAAATCTATTTAAGTATATAAAGCAATTAAGAGTATGGCTGTACTTATTACTCATATGAAATGTGATTTCTTAGTACGCTAAACCGAGTTATGGTTTTAGTGCACTCTTTTAGCGACCGCCTCTAAAAATACACCACTAATCGGTGGGTGAACGGATTATCTTCTCAGACATAAACATGTATTGCTGCTTGCTCGTTGCTTTACAAGACTTCCCGTTTAATTGCCCAGGCCCCCATGAGTTGCGAAATGGGGTAACATCACGAACCCTATTCAGTCAAGCGAGACTCGTGGTGGAATAAACCTTAATCTCATCTTGACCTGGTTCTTGTTAGGTATCGCGAAGGCTGGATTAGGCTGGCACGCCTCATTTGAGTTTTACCGAAAGAGCGGCCGCGGGACGGGAGGCCTGGTGTCGCGTGCTTATGTAAGAAGTTGCCAACGGACTTCGCGCTTGGTGGTGTCTGGTGCACGGGTGAGTGCCTCGGGTGAAGGGATGCGGTCCATTCGACTCGCGGCTGCGCCGAGGGGGTTTTTTTTTTTGTCCATTCATTTTTGGAGTGTGTGTCTACCAATGGTATTCAAACACCCACACACCAGCCCATCTCATCTTATCTGAAGAAGAAAAAAAAAAAAAAAAGGTTAGCGATGATGTACCATTAATACCTACCCAATCATCAAGAATGGAAGATAGAAAGATCAAGAAACAAAAGACCCAAGATGATTTGCCGGATCAGTTTGATGTCAGCCATAGATACAAGACCACTGCAGCAATGGCGCTGCATTTAGAAAAGGGCCCCAATAACCCGTTCAATCACAAACCGTTCAGTTCGAAGTACTTTGACATTCTTAAATTAAGAAAAGACTTACCGGTTCATGCTCAAAGAGATGAGTTTTTACAAATCTTTCATCTGACGCAAATCATGGTTTTCGTTGGGGAAACCGGTTCGGGTAAAACTACCCAAATACCCCAGTTTGTAGCCTACGATGATTTAAGTCATTTGAATGGAACTCAAATTGCATGTACTCAACCAAGAAGAGTGGCGGCCATGTCGGTGGCTAAAAGAGTGGCCGATGAAATGGACGTGGAGTTAGGAGAAGAAGTTGGTTATCTGATTCGTTTTGAAAATAAAACTAGCGATAAAACCTTTTTAAAGTATATGACCGATGGGATGTTATTAAGAGAAGCAATGGATGATCATGAAATGAAAAATTATAGTTGTATTATTTTGGATGAAGCCCACGAAAGAACTTTGGCCACCGATATATTAATGGGGTTATTGAAACAAATCAGTTTAAATAGACCAGATTTAAAAATCATTATCATGTCAGCAACTTTAGATGCAGAAAAATTTCAATCTTACTTTAATAATGCTCCTCTTTTAGCAGTTCCTGGTAGAACTCATCCAGTTGAGATTTATTATACTCCAGAATTCCAACGTGATTATTTGGATGCCACCATTAGAACTGTCTTACAAATTCATGCTACTGAAGATGATGGGGATATCTTGGTTTTCTTAACCGGTGAAGAAGAAATCGAAGATGCTTGTAGAAAAATATCTTTAGAAGCAGATGAATTAATTAGAGAACAAAATTGTGGTCCTTTAAAAGTTTATCCATTATATGGTTCTTTACCACCACATCAACAAACGAAAATTTTTGATCCGGCTCCTCAACCTTTAAAAATTGGTGGTCGTCCGGGTCGTAAAGTTATTGTGTCTACTAACATTGCAGAAACTTCTCTTACCATTGATGGGATTGTTTATGTTGTTGATCCAGGTTTTTCTAAACAAAAAGTTTATAATCCTCGTATTAGAGTTGAATCCCTTTTAGTAAGTCCAATTTCAAAAGCCAGTGCTCAACAAAGAGCTGGTAGAGCTGGTCGTACTAGACCAGGGAAATGTTTCAGATTATACACCGAAGAAGCATTCCAAAAAGAATTAATTGAACAATCCTATCCAGAAATTTTAAGATCAAATTTGGCATCAACCGTTTTAGAATTGAAAAAATTAGGTATTGATGATTTAGTTCATTTTGATTTTATGGATCCACCAGCTCCAGAAACAATGATGAGAGCTTTAGAGGAATTAAATTATTTACAATGTTTATCAGACGAAGGTGATTTAACTACTTTAGGTAGAACCGCATCTCAATTTCCTTTGGATCCAATGTTGGCTATTTTATTAATAAATTCTTTTAAATATAATTGTTCAGAAGAAATTTTAACAATTGTTTCTTTACTTTCGGTTCCAAATGTTTTCGTTCGTCCTGCAAGTGCAAGAAAAAGAGCTGATGAAGCTAAAATGATTTTTGCTCATCCCGATGGTGATCATTTAACTTTATTAAATGTTTATGAAGCTTTCCAATCCGATGAAGCTTTTAATCTCGGTTTACATCAATGGTGTAGGGATCATTTTTTAAGTTACCGATCTTTAACTTCTGCTAAAAGTGTTAGATCTCAATTACGTCGTATAATGGAACGTCATGATATAGAATTGAACTCAATTGATTTTAATGACCCAAGCTATTGGACTAACATCCGTAAGGCTTTGGCTGCCGGGTTTTTCATGCAAGTTGCTAAAAAGAAATCTGGTAATAAAGGTTATTTAACAATTAAAGATAATCAAGAAGTTTTAATTCATCCTTCTACAGTTTTAGCTTCGGAAAATGAATGGGTCATTTATAACGAATTTGTCTTAACTTCTAAAAATTACATTAGAACAGTCACGAATATCAAACCAGATTGGTTGGTGGAAGTTGCTCCTAAATACTACAACTTGGACCATTTCCAAAAAGGTGATGTCAAATTATCCTTAGAAAGAGTCATTGATAGAGTGGAAACCATGAAAAAATTAGAGAAGAAAAAGGATAAAAAACTGAAAAAATCAAAAAATTAATCTTGTAGTCATCACAACATTGTCAAGAAGAACCAAGTCCCTGTTAACATCATCTCCTTCATTTCTCCATCTTATATAGTTAAATTCCTAAATCAGTTTCTGTTGTTTTAGGAAGGTGTTTTTTTTGTGTAAATTGTTGCAAAATTTTTAGACGAGCATTTAACTTACGTGTATAGTAATCTTTGATTAGAAATGTCATTTTAAAACATCTTTGTAAGAGGTAAACGGCTAGTTCCTAACTAAAAAACCATTGGTTGATCGCGTTAAAGTGGAAACATGGCGTATTTCTACATATAGTGATAACAAATCATATGAGCTGTCATTGCGGTCTGGTCCCCTATACCTTGGCCTATTGACCTGGTCTATTAGAGTCGAACGTCTTCTGTTAACATCCCTAGATAGGTGAATAGCTAATCCATTGTTATCCCTTGATTGTTCTTGATTGAGTTAATTGGAAAAAACTCAAAATCACCCGCATACAATAAACGGGAGATCACATATCTCCCATTCTTCCACCATTATTTACCCCTTTTCTCTCCTCTACAAGACCACTACATCTCCCCTTCGCGTATAAGGCTTGTGGATCTGGTTCTAGTCGTTGGCTTTAGGAAGAATCGACTTTTCAGTTGTTCAAGTGATTTTTTTTTTGTTTTTTTAGGTGATTTTTTTCTTTTAGGTGATTTTTTTTTTTTTTTTTTCAGTGCAGTACCGTTCTCTTTCTATTGTTTTGGTTCTGTTACTTCTCGTGTTGTATTCATTGACGTTAAACCATTTCGAAAGTTCAAATACTTCTCTTCTTTTCCGATCTAGAGTCAGCTTGGTACCATATTACATCTTCGGGGTTCTTCTTTTGAACGTTAGCCAGACTAGAAGTAACAGTTAGATATCAATTAGAGTAGAATAATTCATTATGGGTCTTTTAATTGTACGTATGAATCAAATTAAATGGTGTGAGTCTTACTAACAATTCTAGTCTAAATTATTTAAAAACCGGGAAATGAGAATATTGATGTTGGGTCTTGATAATGCCGGTAAGACTACAATTTTGTATAAATTGAAATTAGGTAAGACATCGAGAACTGTTCCAACGGTAGGTTTCAATGTTGAAACCGTTAAACATAAAAATATCTCTTTTGCCGTTTGGGATTGTGGTGGACAAGAAAGAATTAGACCTCTTTGGAGACATTATTTCACCGGTACTAATGCATTGATTTACGTGGTTGACTCTTCTGATATTAATAGACTAGAAGAATCTAAAAAAGAGTTATTAAGAGTTATTAACGATAAAGAGTTGGCCAATTCTTTATTAATTGTTTTGGCTAATAAACAAGATGTCCCCGGGGCAATTAAACCAAAAGAATTGATTGAACGTTTTGAATTGTCTGATTTAACCGGTGAACATACTTGGTCAGTTATACCTACTATAGCTATTGATGGTACTGGACTTGTAGAAGCTTTAAATTGGATTTCAAGTCACAGTAAGTAAGCATTCTTCCCCAATGTTTCGTTTAAAGTTAGTCATCTACAATTAATAAAGTTCAATTACTGGTTATCCTTTATTAGTTTACGTGTTTTCTTTTTTGCACTTTGTCCTTTCGTTTTTCCTGTGTTACTTCTTCTTATCCTTCATTTCCTTTGTACTGTTCCTCGATACTCAATGATGTTACTACTTAAATGAACCCACATACACGGCATTGCTGAACATTACGGTTCGACTTGAAATACTCTTGCTTTTTTTTTTTTTTTTTTTTGCAATCATTGATTGTTTTTTTTTATTGTCTTCCTTCAGTTCATATTTGAGAAATTGACTTATTTATTTCTTTCTTTTACTTTCATTTCATTAATTATACCTAATTGCTTTTTAAATTTGTTCTTTGTTCACAGATTGATTCCTTTTAATGCTAAAACAGAAAAAAAAAAACTTCTCTCCATAATATACAATCCTTACATCTACTATCGTAATCTTAATATTTGAGTTGAATAATTATTTTGCAGTCATCTATATGTACTTATTACTTGGTTAAAACCCCAACTTGTCCATTTTCTTCTCCGAAATATGCTTTGGTGGTTATATCGGTGAATAACCCAGTTTCAACAACACCAACTAATAGTTTGATTTGAGTATGTAATTTAACTGGATCAGCAATCTCACCAAAATCAGCATCAATTAAAAAGTTATTATTATCAGTAACAACTGGACCAGCTTTAGAGCTACCCCCTTGTCGTAAGATAACTTTTTTAGCACCCAAATCATATAAGTCATTAGTAATCTTAGCATAGGAATTTGGTACAATTTCAATTGGTACCCCTTTTGTCCATTGGATACCTAATTTTGATGGTGATCTTTTACGGTAATCTGCAACAACAATAAATTGTTTGGAAGCAATGGCAACTAGCTTTTCTTGAAATAAACATGCTCCTCCTCCTTTAATCAAATTTAAATCAGTATCCACTTCATCTGCCCCATCAAAAGCAATATCAATATTAGAATATTGTTCAATTGATCCTAAACTCAATCCATTATCAATGATCAATTGCTTTGATTGGAATCCAGTTGGGATACAAACAAACCCCGACTTATTTCTCAATTGTCCCAATCTCTCTGCAACATAAATAACAGTAGATCCTGACCCAATACCAACTACTTTGGCACTTTCCGGGAAGTTTTCATCAACGGCTTTATAAGCAGCAGACTTTTTGGCTTGTTCAACTAAATCAGTAGACATTCTTCTTATATTTATAAATCGTGCTTGTGGTTTACAGAAAGTCAATTGGCTATATCTCCGTAATATGCTTATCATATATCTTCCACCGATAGTTTGACTTTTGCTAATGACTGATTCTTTAGCTATTCGAAACTCCCATCGCAATGGTCCTCAAATATTAGCTCCGTACATATGCTCTCCGGATTATGTAATTGGTTATACAAACCTAAATCACTCCGGAGAAAAAATGGTGATTGGGTCTTTCTATCCTCTCACGTGATTATAGATGTACGGATCATTTTGTCTCGAAAAAAAGCAGTCACGGTGTGCACGTGAGTCGCATCGCATCTTCGAAAAAATTGAAAATTTTCAGAAAAAAAAATTAGTTTTGCATACCGTCTTGCACTCTCAGAATCTCTTGCAATCCACTCACGAACTTTCTCTTCCTTTGGTGTACCTCCTACTCTTTGTAACACCCATTCTGAAGGGAAAAAAAAAAAAATAGTCTTAAAATTTCACTCCTGGTATAAGTGGGTTGTTTCTTAATATTCCAACGGTTTGACCTTATTCATATATATCATATAACACCAATATGTCTGCTGCCACTAAGATTTTATCTGAAAAACCATCTGAATTAGAATTACAAGTTGCTCAAGCTTTTGTTGATTTAGAATCTCAAAGTGACTTGAAAGCTGAATTAAGACCATTACAATTCAAATCCATCAAAGAAATTGATGTTAACGGTGGTAAAAAAGCTTTAGCTGTTTTCGTTCCAGTTCCATCTTTACCAGCTTACAGAAAAGTTCAAACTAGATTAACCAGAGAATTAGAAAAAAAATTCCCAGATCGTCATGTTGTTTTCTTAGCTGAAAGAAGAATCTTACCAAAACCATCTAGAGGTTCAAGAAAACTCCAAAAGAGACCAAGATCTAGAACTTTAACTTCTGTTCACGACAAAATCTTAGAAGATTTAGTTTTCCCAACTGAAATTGTTGGTAAAAGAGTTAGATACTTAGTTGGTGGTAACAAAATTCAAAAAGTTTTATTAGATGCTAAAGACTCTACCGCTGTTGATTACAAATTAGACTCTTTCCAACAATTATTCAGTAAATTAACTGGTAAACAAGTTGTTTTTGAAATCCCAGGTGATGTTTACTAAATAATTTGAATAAAAAGTTGAATATAATGAAATTGAAGAATTTTTTCATAATTAAAGTAACCTTGTTATATTGATAACTTGATTACTTTTTTCGATGATTTTTTTCTGATAGGGTACTATATTGCGTGTGTTTTAGTATATTAATAATCATAATATAAAAAAAAAATTATAAAAATGTTTTTATCTTGTATTTATATATATTAACTTGCATGTAAAAAGATTTTATTATTACTATTTCATTGCAAAATATAGCCCTTTCCTCTTATTTTCTATCTCTTCAATAATATCTCTATTTAAACCAATACATACTTACGATCAATCGATAATAGATGTAAGAAAACAATCTATATTATTTCGATTTCTATTTGATATATAAACTGACTAAAAAAAAAAAGATTTTAATGCAAAAAATCGTGGAAACATAAACTTTTATTCTACCTTCTATATCTTTCTGGTGTATGATGTTGGGAATAAACCTCTTTGGCCATCTATTTCCCCTTCTGTCCAGCCACTACCGTCTGTATCATCTTGTATTAAAACTATCTTATCGCCAGCTTTAATACTCAATTCATCATCTCCATCAGCATTATAATCATATAACGCTTCAACATACTGGACTCTTTTAGCACCTCTCTTAGGTGCAACAGAAGGTCCTTTCTTTTTATAACTACCACCGGTATCATCTGTAGATATATGAGGAATATTCTCAATATACGAGGTAGGCACCAAACCTTCTTGACCATTAGCTGAATGGATCATTGTCCAACCAGATCCATCATCTTCATCAACAATATCGAAAACGTCTCCGGCATTGATACTAGCTTCATCAGCACCAGAAGCTTGGTAGGGGTATAATGCTTTACCTTGGTTTCCACCTCCGTTACTGATTGTGGATGAAGCATTTGATTGGGCACGGTTTCTTCTTAAATTGAAAAGACCTGAATGGGAAGCTGAAGTAGCATGACTTGCCGCAGACTTGAGAGAATGATTATCATCATCTGTTGGAACTACGTTACCCTGAGTTGGAGTAGCTGATTTTTTACTTTTCAAAAAACCTAATTTTGACTTCTTTTGTTTTGCCGGTTCAACATATCTTAAATCTTTATCACCAGCAAAGTTTTGTATAACTTCAATTTGAACTTCATTTCTAAGTCTCATAGAATCATCCTTCATAAATCTATTCAATATAGTCAAAGAATCGTCTAATTTAGTATCGAATTTTAGGGTAATGTTTGCAGTATCCTGTTTTCTTTCATTAGTTAATTCTTCTAATTTTTGTTTTGACGCTAAGCATAAATCTTCTAATCTTTGGTGATTAGTCAAACTCGTACTCAATTCTTTTTTCAAAGTGGTTAATTCAGGTTCTTTCGTTATTAAGCTTTCGTCATCGTGCCAAATGTCACAAGGAATATAATAGAAATCGGCTGGCTCCTTCCAATCAATGGTGTTATGTTTTATGAACATGGCAATATCTAATTTTGGGTTATTTTGATCAATAGTTGAATCAATTAAATGAAGTTTTTCTTTTATACGATCATTTGAGTTTCTTTCAATAATTGATGCATTTTTCAATAATTTATTTAATACAGCAACTCTCGATTCATTCAACTCTTGATAATAATCTAAAATTTCTGGAACGTCTTGATAGTAATATTTGTCTTTCAAACGATTTGCTATGTTTATCTTGATTAAGTATTCATTCTTACCTACATTCATATCTATAGTTTTTTCTTCTAATTTCCTTTGATGTTTCTCTCCAGGAGATTTTTCATTCTTTTGTCTAGCATTTTCAGTAGATTGACATAAGTTATCATATGCTTTTTTGGACTTATTGACTTCCTCTTCAACAGCTGTCTTCTCAGATTTGAGAAATTCATTAATTGTTTCAATGTGTTTACTAATTCTGGATGATTTACCTTTCAAACTAACCAAATTTTCGGCAATCTTAGAATTGATCTCTTTATTAAAGGCAATTTTTTCTTCGGCAATTGCTTCGGTCTGAGTTAAAACTTCATTCCATAAAACAACAGAGGCACTCTCTAAAGATCCAGGAGTGATCTGAGGTTCATCACCAACCGATAGATGGGATGAATTCTTCGCCTTTTTTTCAAAATGTCGTTTGGTTAAATCTTTCAATTTATTGGCATATTCTTTTTCAATTGAAGCCCTTTCTCGATAAAACTCTTCAATATCACCAAGCCAGTTGATTCCATTGTTGATCCACTTAGACGTTGGTTTGAACGAATCTTTCAACTCATTCCCAATAGAAATCTCTTCTAAAGACATGATTCAAGTATCCTGGGTTTATTTCTTCTATTTCCTGTAAAATCGTACCGGGTTGAAAACTTTATTGAATAATTGATAGAAGAGCTCTGCTACTTCATAAAAAACCGTCTATGCTTGGAGTAGTTCCAGTCCAGTGCTTTGGTCGGTCACGTATTACGTTGTCCATTTCCATTTTCCCCCTCTACTTTTTTTCTCATTCATTTGAAACCTTCTCTTTTTGGTGATGTTTTTCAATCTTTCGCAATTCTGCTGTTGAAGTTTAACTTTTTGCAATAATTCATATTTGCAACCAATGATGTGTGACGGGTTGAACTCTCCAGGCTTGTCTTTGGTGGGTTTCAGCTTGTTTTTTGGTGTATTGGCAGTAGCTTGGTTCGAAAAAGCAGGTTCGAAAAACACCTTCCGGGTTTGATCTCAGCAAAAGAATAATCACTGCTCGAATGATTCGAGGTTCATAAACTGAATGCTTCCTTTAATTGTGGATAATCCAATCTCCTTCTTTTAATTCAAGTTGGTTAGCTTGCAATTAGTGTATCTTGGTTAGAGTAAGAGTCTTCATCGTATGGTCAAACACCCGTGCACCGGTAATTAATTAGCAGATATCAGTGATTAAAAAAAATCACCATAACTACTTCACTCGAGTGACTTTTAAGCAAACTGTTCGAATACTCGATATTCCACTTCAAACTCACTTCCAGTTACGAACTGACTGAGCAAATAATACAATTGCGAGTTGCGCTGCTCATTCCTATTGTTTCCCGGACAAAGAAGTATACGGTGCTAGTAGGCAATAGGTATAAACAATATTGATCTTTTTTTGCCTTTTGGTGATAAAACAAACACAATCACAACAAGAAATTATTTCGAAAACGCTTGTTTGGCGGTATATTCAAGGTGAAGGGCAGAAGAACTACACTTAGCAAGCTCAAACTCGCTTCGGTGTTTGTATTAAGGAGGCTATTCCCTCATCGTAACTCTCTTGCTAAACCACAGCAGAAGATATCGAAATTTAAAGTATTGAATGATATTTATAGAGATTACAAAGCTTTAAGAACTCCTTATCCGTTGTCGCAAAACACTCTTCTTAGAGTTCCTTCTAGATTTAAAAAACAGATACTTCGAAATGTCAAGATGAGTAATTCGTCCACATCAGATTCAAACTCAAACCCTCCGTCAAGGTCTCATTCTTCTTCTCCTTTGGAAATTGGGCCTCCAGCATCGGCATCTTCAGTGTCAGCTACACAGCTGGGGAGAGTTTCTCCATCACCTCAAGCATCAAGCTCTGCTTCTACTGGTTATATTTCCCGACGCCAAAGACTATTGGGATTTGCGAAAACTACAAGAGATACCTACATCCCTCGATTTGCAGGGTCCGTATCTCAAATTGCATCAGGAGTGTCCAAACAGGTCTACGGTGTAAATGACTTATATGATTATCAGGGTAATTTGGTTCTTCCGAAAGATTCCTCGATTACCTTGTTTCCTTCTTATACACGGAAATCGACGTCTGAAGATGATTCTTATGTGATTGAGGTGAAAGGTTGGCTCTCATGTCCTGGTCAAATGACGAGAAAGAATAGATTGATCTTATCATTAGCTAAGCAAATCACTAAATATGGGGCTAATAATGTAAGTACTGAAAATGCAATTAGTAAGCTTGAAAGTGACAAATTAAAACATGACGTTGTGGAAGACCATAAATCAGATCCTTCTGATCTCAACTCATCTGCTAGCTCGGATGATTTGTCCATCAGTAGCACATTCATTGATTCTCCAAATACTGAAAACAATAATAATCACCAAGATGAACTTATCAAAGAAAGATTACGTGCTTTCATAGCTCGTTCGATTGCTGGGGCAGAATTAAATATCATTATTGGCTCTGAAAGTAAAGTTGACCAAGATAATGTCAAAAGCCTTAAAGTTGTTACCGATGTCAATGGTCATTTCGAAGCAGATATTGAAGTTTCTTACAAACCTTCAATAGTACAAGTTCAAGCATGTAGTGATGAGTCTATCTTTTCATTCCAAGATATCATGTTCATTCCTCATGATGGTTTGGGAGTGATTAGTGATATCGATGATACTATTAAGTTAACTGGGGTCATCGGTGATAAGAGACAGTTAATGACTAGTTTACTTCTTCATGACGTCTTCTCGTGGAATATACCTCCAGTTGTAAAATGGTATACTCAACTATATCATGACTTAAATCTTTCGTTCCATTATGTGTCTAACTCCCCTTGGCAATTATTTTCCGTGATTGACAAATATTTTAAAGCAGTTAAGCTACCGATTGGTTCAGTGCATCTCAAGCAATACACCGGTAATATCATTTCTTCACTTATGGAACCCTCATCTTCAAGAAAGAAAAGAGCTTTATATAAAATTTTGGAAGACTTCCCAAAGAAAAAGTTTATTTGCGTTGGTGATTCTGGAGAGCATGATTTAGAAGCATATACTGATTTAGCAGCTGCATATCCTAACAAAGTAACCCATATATATATCAGATATGTGAAAGATTCTTTATCTGATATTGACGATGCCAGAATTTTACAGGAAGTAAGAAGAATGATTAATGAACGGAGAAAAATCAAATCTTTTAGACAAAAGCAGCATCCGTCAGTAAAAGAATCTTCCGAAAAACCTGCTGCATCAGAAATTGAAGATTTAATAGACTTGACTAACCTGACACCATCACCACCACCCACATTAGATCCTAAAGCTGCAGACAGAAAGGCAAAACTACCGCCAATGATACCCTCAAAGCCAAAATCATTTCAAGGTTCTAAAATAGCTCGGAAACCGCCTTTACCTGAGCGTGACAGCTCTATATCACCACCTTCTAGTCTTTCTAAATCATCCACACCCTCGTCTGTTTCTACTGGACAAAAAAGTAATGCTCCGAAACCGCCTTTACCCAGAAAGACTGTGACAAATGCAGAACTCAACAGCAAATTAAGCTCACAGAATAACTCGATTGATAATGTGAGCGAAAGTAAAGCAGCACTGGATGAAGAGTGTCCTCCACCGCTTCCTTCAAGGACAACAGGGGCCATTGGTTTAGACTCCCGCCGTTCTAGTGGAGAATTTGATGTCTTCGATAATTTACATAATGTATACCATTTCCATAATTATGATGAAATAGAGCTGATGGATAGCAGAGGAGCTCAATGGTTGGTAAGGGTTGCTGAATCTCTTGACCGTTTGAAGTATACTGACACGGATATACACTTCTTTCAAGATGATGATGATGACTTTTTCAAAGATGCTTTAGAACTTGTTTCTAAAAATCTACGAGAATGAAAGTAAAACCGTATAGCTACAATTAAACGTATAATTTTTGAAAAGAAATAAATTAATTATCGTAAGTTATATATTATACACTGATACTTAAAGAATTGAATGCAAAATTCACATTAAGAATGTATCAAATTTCTTAATGAAATTCTTATGCTTTTTGAGATGCTGGTTCTTGAACAGTTTCTTCAGCTTTGGCTGGAGAAGCAGACTCATTCAGCACATTTCCATCACCATAGTCTTTAATGTTAGAATCATCGACATCTGGTAAGTTCTTTCTGAACTCAGATAAATCCCATTCAGTACCTTGAGAACCATCATCAGCTTCAGTATAATATTTATCAGAGAATTTTTGAATGATAATTTCTCTACCAGTGAGAACTCTTTTACCACTTTGTTCTTCTTTCTTCTTCTCACTAGCTTTCTTTTCAATTTGTTTAGTTTTCCATTGATTAAAAGATTCAATAGTAATTGGAGTGAATTTACTTCTGTCCAATTTACCTCTTTCCATTTCAATAAATTCTTCTAGAGTAATCTTAGGAGCAGATTCCGATGCAAGTTTTTCTAAACGTTTTTGTTCCTTGGTTTTCAAAACAAATCCTGGTGGTAAAGAATGTCTATATTTACATTCGTTACCTCCGTTAGGACAAACCCAAAACCAACCATATTTACCATTTTCAACGGCTTCAATAAAGTATTTACAAACTTTTTCGGTGGTTGTTTTAGGATTACCATGTTTGGACAAAATAACTTTTCTTAATTTTTCTTCATCCCAAGTATCCATAGTATCTTCTTCCTTTTCAGTTCTAGCGTCAGTGTACAAATCTTTCTTTTGGTCTTTTCTACCAACGTTAGGGTCATGTGAGAACTTACATTTATTACCCTTGTTACAAAGACCCTTCTTGAAGAATTCACACAAGATTGATTTTGGATCAACACCAAATGGAACTTTTTGCTGTTGAATACCAAACATTTGTGCTGCTTCCCTCTTGGCCTCTTCGGCTGCTTTCTTTTCTTCTGCTCTTCTTTTGGCATCAGCTTCTTTCTTCTTAGCAAGACCACCATCGGCACCAGCTGTCATTTGGTTAATTTGCTGTTGAACTTTCTTTGACTTATTCTTATTCTTCATCCCGAAAGACTTGTCTTCGGCGGATTTGGCCTTGGCCTTGGCCTTATTCTTAGCCGAAACTTGTGGTTGAGTCTTCTTTGGTGGCATCTTTAATTCCTGTCAAGCTAATATAATTGATGGACCAAACCTTTTATAAGCTTCTTCGGTTTAAATTTTTTTTTCATCCAAAGAATCGCTGACGTAGTTAGCATTAACCCTCGCACTACAATAAAAATTTTTTCTGTTGCGCAGAGAAAAGTGCACGCAAATTTTGGCTGAAAATTTTGGCTGAAAATTTTGGCTGAAAATTTTAGAGTTATAAAGTATTGAAAGATTGGTTCATAAGTATTACTATTTACTAGAAAGAGTGTCATTGATTGTAGCTGGAGAAACGGCATGATTTTTAGAGAAAGTATATACATATAAATGCAATGAAAGGTTACTATTGTTTCGATTTTTGAGAACTTCTTTTTTTACCAGCTTTCGGGGTACTGAGGTTAACTGATTGAGCAGAGTTGGTAGGTGTGCTCATATTGGTAGACAGTGGCGCTGTGTTAGTAGCAGACCAGTATTGCGAGGTGACATCCTGGCCAATGCTGGAAGTTGAAGCATTGGGAGAATATTTATTGGCCTTCTTAGACTTCTTTTTACCACTTAACAAACCTTCGAAACGAGTGCCGTTTTCGTTATGGGGAGATGCCGGGTTGTTTTCGGGAGATAACATAGTAGGAGTGCTTGATTCGAATGCAGATGATAGGGTTGGTGTTGCTAAGCTAGCATTTATATACTGCTTTGGATTATTTTGGGGGTCGAATGTAGGTGAAACGGGCATAACTGGAGTAGTAAAAGTTTCATTTTTATTCTTAAAAGTTGCCCTACTGTTTCTGAATGGAACGTATGATCTTTTTGGGGCATTTGACCCTTGGCTCGCATAATTTGAGGCACCCATTGAGTCTGCTAAACTACTCTTAAATGAAGTATTGGACTGTGTTCTTGCCAAACTTCTATTCAAGATAAATGAAGCATTTTTATCATAAACTTGAGGGGCAGAATCCATTGGTGCAATAGGATCATTAGAGGAAGTACTGTATTTGGTATCGACTGATGCACTATGGATATGATGACTTTGTATATCACCACGGCGAGCACCATTCAACATAAGTGGATTCATAGCAACAGATCCATTTTGATCAGATTCTTTAGTAAAGAATGAATCGAAATCATCTAATGCAGCCCACATGTTACTTAATGAAGCATGTTCTTCAACATTGACAGAAACAGTGTCACCATGGTCGGCAGGTGGTGAGTAATAGTCTTCCAAATGGAAGTGGAACTCTTCGTCTTTGTTTTGAGCATTTTCATCAAACTCTTCTGATGTAGATGCAACTGCACAAGTTGAGAAAACAGAATGAACATTATGTCTGGTGCTGGCTGCAGTCATCGCTGGCATTGGGATAGCCCATCCGCTTTCATCAGGAATACCAAACAAAGTTCGAGTCTTTTCATATTCTTTTTTCATTGCTGAGTTACCTAAACTCATTCTCAAAACATCTCTATCAAGTTGAGATCCCGATATCACAACCGCCTCGTCCAAGACCTCTAATGCTGGCTCTGCATAATCTGTCAACAACAATCTCAACAAAGGTGAAATTAGATCAGCACCAACACCCAAAAATTCGTCTCTTTGTAAATCCACTAATGAAAAGAAATGTTTCAATAAACTCATAGTTTCTAATTTCACCCATGATATCTTGTTTGATAAGAATCCTAAAAGTAATACCAACGTTTGAGCTTCGAATTCTGGGAAGAACCCATTCTTAATAGTCGAGATGGTCTGAACCAAAAAATCCTTTTTAGATCTAAATCTATTCTTAGATAAAGAAACTAAAATTCTTGATATAGCTGGCTTATCGCAGCTATCGGCCATTTCACTCAAAACAATTGCAGTTTCTTCGATATCCTTAGTTATAGACTTTTGATCTAACGCATGCAAAAACCTAGGTAAGTTTGCCAAAACAGATATCAAAAGCCTTGAATCACCCTTACCAATAACCTCACTATCCTTTAAGTGATTAAGTTTATCAAGAAATCTTAATGTTGGTTCATATGCAGTGGCAGAGCGCAAACCAACCATCACAACATGTTGTAAGCCTTCAAATTTACCTTCCCACTTGGGTGGGAAGGTGGATATTAAACAAGAAACAGTCTCGGGTGAATCTAAATCAATTTTAGAAACGAACTTGGACATCGTTGATAAAACTTCGATGAATTCTTGCTCGTGAATAGTACTTAAACAGGCAACACTAGACCAAAATAATTGAGGAAAATCAATAAGTTTTTCAGAACTAAGTTCGGCAGTCATTGCATTCAAAGTCATAAGGATTTGCATAGCAAAACCTTGGATATCTAAAACTTCATCGGAAATGGTGTTAGAAAGACGGTGAAGCATATCCTTCAACATCCCTTGATCTAAAAATGATAATAAAGATCTGAATAATTGGAAAGACCTACAAGCGATGTGTCTGACAGCACAGGTCGTTGCCCAATTTAATGATACTCTACTCCATTCTTCTTGTAGTGAAGGAACTGAAGGTGAAAATATTTCAAGAATATTCCTAGCAAGTAAATCCATGTTTTTAGGGGTTCTAGCTCCCTTCTTGTCGTTATTCAAGTCATCGTAAACCCATAAGTATTTATAATGATCTCTTTGTCTCAAGACATCAATGGTTTCAGTCGACTTAGGTTCATTTGGCGCCAAAGCGTGAATTAAGTGAATTAATAATGAACCTGCTTGCTCTTGAACAACCTGTAGAAAATGATCTAACAAAGAAAAGGCAACATGTAACAATAAAGGTAATTTTTCAATCATCTTAACATTTTCAACAGTAAACAAATCAACCAAAAATACCATCGACAATTGACCTAACGAAAATGCAGCATCCTTATCGTTATAAGGAATCATTGTCCAAAGATTTGCAACGTATGGAAAATCACCTATATTGGAGTCATTGAAAGTATTTGAAGTAAGATAAGGTTGTGGAGGTACCATAGTCTTTGGTTGCAAGTTGCCAATAAGCTTGTCAATGATGTATAATGGGTCAGGCTGTGAAAAAGCCAAATAGTCAATGATTTGGCGAGAGTACTCGACAAATAGAGCATTCTTTCTTTCTAAACAATTATTGGTGATATATTCTATGATCTTGTCAAAATTACTAGGATTACTCCCCAATGCCACCCATAAAGCTTCAACTTCATTTGAAATCTTAGAGCTAAACTTCACCGTGATTTCGAATAAATTATTTAAAACCATTATAGATGGTGGATCCAAATCATTCGTAGTTTGTTTAGTCATTTTCACTGCATTAGAGTCAGCCTCGTGTGTCTTACTTGATTTATATTTTAATTCAACATTTTGAACCCAAGGAAGTAAGCAAGCTAAAATATCTCTTCTTGTACCATTATCCACAAGGTTGAAAAACATCGTTAGGTAACTTATACATATGAATGCACTATTAGGATGTATGGAAGCAATCTGGGCCGAAATATCAAAAAGTGCTTTCTTATAAACTACCTTTGTTTTAGTACATACACTTTCAGTAAACCTGTCAGTAGCAAGACTATTCAAGAATTTGAGTTCAATGAACTTTAGAAGTTTCATTGCAAAGAAACGCACCTCGTATTTATCACATCCAACTAAAAATGTTGACAAGCAGAAAATGTCATATGGAGGTTCATCCATTTTACGATGTTCCATGAAAACATCGACAAACGTGGTGAAATAGTTTTCAGTGACTTTTAGGGACTGGTGTGAACTGTAACATTGCTTAACTATATCCTGATAGACTTCGCTATTATTAATATTCAAAACCAATACATTTTTCAAAGCTTGTTTACCAATTTCCTCGGCCCGTTCATTGGTTGAAGACAAAAGAGAGTATATCCAATTCATTAAAGCCGGTATATCAAATGATATAACTGCAAGCTTGCCCGGGACCTCAATTTGTTGTTTCATTGGACCAGAACATAAGACGGCCATACAGCTCAAAGCAGAAAACTGAAGGGCAGTTTTTTCGATCTCGAGAATAGCAGCAGCAGTAGCAGCCTCCTTCAGTTGACCAACCCTCTTGATCATAGCTGTGTATCTATCCTCCGTTATTTCACTTGAATCCCCAAATCCACACCATTCTCGAAGAAAATTGAAACATCCAATTCTAGCTTCAAAAGGGATCCATTTGTTCAAGCTTGGTTTTCTTTGCAATCCTGAAAAAACATTTTTCAAGAAGCAGGAGAAATAACGACGTAATCTTTGAAATTCAACATCTGTTTGGATTACTGAGTTAGATAAAAATGACTTGACATTTTTGATTATCGATACCAAATTAGCAATCATCCAATCATCAGAGTATATGACTGGATCAGAATTGAAGCGTTCAGTGATATTACTTAGAATGTGAACTATCTCAATACGAAGACGATCATCAGTAGGATCTCTTTTCTTAGAATTAATGTCCCAGTCATTCATTGCAGCGGGCAAGTTTTCTAAGAATGGTTTGAATATATTAATATTCAAACAACTTAATCCTAATATAACGGCATCTCTTACCATTGGTTGTTGAGATTTCAAAAGTGGTAAGACCATACGGAAAACAGATTTGGCACTTGTTATCTTTTGATGTTGAATGAATATTTGTAAAGATCTCTTTCTACCGTGAGTTGGTTGGTTGGGGAATGAAATCTTTTGCTCACTAGTGGAAGTCAAGGAGCAGCAAGCAAAAATTAAATATAATCTCCATTGGTTAACTAATACCTCCGGGGGTGTGTTGCTGCTGGATCTTGAAAACAACGAGGTAGTATAGTTTTTATAGCTTTCCGAAAATTCGAAGATAAGCTCATGCATTTGGACCATCCTAACGCAAACGATAGAGCGACACATTGCCACTGGCATTGGGCATTTTTCGAAAAAAATATCCAACAATTTAGGATAAAGCCTAAACCAGAGAGTGGAATCAATACCATAGTCTGATTCAGCCAACTTGACTAAAATATTCTTTTTATTTTTAAGTTTGGCGAGACGGCTCCTTTCTGGCATACTGAGTTCTTTACGGAATGGTTTGATCAATTCCAAAAAGTCCAAATCTTCAAAAACATGGATTAGCCTAGTCCCGATATCAGCAGCAAATTTAGAAGAGCTTCTCGAGTGACTCTTAGTTGATGCATCCTTACATTTCATATTTCCACCGTTTGTCATATTAAATATGGCTTGATCAAATTGCTCAACAAGTTTCAAGATAGAAACACCATAATGTCTTACCTTGGAATCTTGAGAGCAGAGGAAAAATAAACCATTACCTTCAACCTCTTCGATGACAGTGATTATAGTCTTCCACTCTAACTCCTCGCTTGGTCCGAAGTTACTTTTTATGTTGTCATCATTGCTCAAGTCACCATTTTTATGATTTATTTGATATAAGTCATTTAAAATATCATTATTCATCATTTCATCATCTTGAGCCAATGGATTCCCAGATTCGTTACCCTTGCCATCATTTAAGTCATTGAATTGCTTCAACCAGCAATTCAATAGGTCTACGTAAATTTTAAGAAGAACATTGAACTCATGAGAATTTAAGTAATCGGCATCATAGTTTGGACCCGGTTTGTCGCTGAATCTGAAAGCGATCTTGGCAAATATGGTTATCAAATTACTTGGATTTTTTCTGAAAGCCAACTTCTTAAGTGCATTTATTGATGCATTGGCTATCACATAATTAGAATGCACTGCATTTCTTGTTAAAAGTTCAACAACACTTTTAAACTGAATTCCAATCGTGGGAGCTCCTCTTTTTTCACCCGATAAAGGAACGATTGCCCAAGGAACTGCCTCGATGAGAGATGCAAATAATTCAATGTTTAAATTTTGATTAGATGGATAAGAAAAGTCGAGATTAAAATGAAACGAAAATCCTGATTGCGATTTTGAAAAACTTGATGCTACAGGAGTCGTAGCATTACTACTTTCAAGTGACCATGCATCAGAGCCACATTGACTATCCAATAGCTTAAGCAAGGTAGCAAATGTTTTGCATATTTCATCATGAGATGCTGCATTTGTTGAGTTCTTAGCAATGAGCATGAATTCGTTTAGTCTTAATTTTTCTTGATTTGAATCTTCTGCCTTATTGTCATCTTTATTCTTCTGGTGGGCGTGGCTTTCATCACTGTTTAAAACATAGTCATTCAAAAGCCTTTTGTTGAAAACATCATCAACAGGAAAAACCGGCTTTTCCCCCAACTCATAATCTTCAAGGATTACTAAGTAAGCTTTTATCACCAAAATGATCTTTTCTGGGTAAATATTTTCCAATGTAGAACCATTGAAACTTTGTTTCAAAAGTCTTAATAAAACACTATCTAAAACATAGTTCAAGTGACGGTAACCAACGATTCGAATGAACTCAACTAAAACGCTTATCAAATCTACTTCTGAAGTAATCCATTGGTTTTTCTTACCATTAACATTAGGATTGAAAAAGATCAAATCAAATAAGCTGTCGAGTTTCTTAACGGTGTTATTCAAGGTATCTGTCAAACGATAAATATAAACCCAAGTTAATCTAGTAACGCAAACGATGAAAGTAGTCTTATCACCACGATCAACTTTTGGTTTCAATTTAAAGATGTTATTCTCAATAATATCAAACCAAGCTTCTGAAAATAATTCTTTACGAGAAACAGATAACATGGACGTTAATAAATGAATAGAATAAGCCCATCCATTGTTTGTATTCAAGGGCACTGACGACGATAAATTTGAGCTTGTTAAATTGATTGTTGATGATGAGCTAAGATTGCTACTTGATTTCATCATTTGATTCCAAATAAAACTTGCTTTGTTATAAATTCCTTCTATAGCTTCAACCCACGTTGGATAATTAGTTTCTGCGGTCAATATGTTAGCCAATGGTAAAACAAGATTACTTAGAACTTCACAATATGCATAAATTATTGATTCATTTTGAGATTTGATGAAGAATTTTGCCAAAGAGAAAATGAATTCAGCACTTTCTTCAAATACTTCCAAAGGATAATTTGTAAGCTTCAAGTATCTCATTCCATGGATCAATAATTGTAACCTTGGCTCATCCTCCTGTTTCACTTGGGATGGGATTTTCTCGAGATCGGCTATAAAACGATCAGTAACACTTAAGAATCTTTGTTCAGACATAAAACCTAATAATTCAGCAAATAAGTTCCAATTGGATGATCTGACTAAGGATTCGCTTGTACTTATAGGATCCGTGGTTTTTAATTGGGTATAAACTATCTCCTCGAGCTTATCGCCTAAGTCATCACCCATTATATCTGGAGATGTTTGCTTGACAACTTCAATTAAAACACGACATAAAATGTAAATAGACGCTAATGATTTGCGTTCAGCTTGGATGGCAGTTTCTCTAGCTTTGACTATTTGATCGTCGTAGAATGTTTTTTGTTTAATAAAATCATTATCATACAGCAGTCTAACTTGTTCGATACTTGGGGATCTAGTAATAGAATTGCTTACAGCCGATGAAGCGGATTGATTTCGACGATGAGACATTTTCGAAAAACTTTTGGTTCTCATTAAACTAAGACTTCTCTTCCCTCTTCCAGCTACATTACTATTTTTCATTATTCCTGGGTTATTAGGACCAACCGAATTGTCAATGGGTTGTTGAGCTCTTGATAAGTTAGCTTTAGCGTGATTCAAAGTTTTTTCAACTTCAGAAGCCGCCAAAGATGCAATTTCACTTTTATTTTTTCTCCAAAACATAACACTATCAATAACCGGTTTTGGTTTTCTTCTTGCTATATATCCTAAGGATGCCACTATTTTATCAAATTGAGGATCAACTCCTTCGGAAAGTAAGTCGATTATTGGAGGTTCTTCAGTTAATGGATAATCTATGCATAAGTTCAATTTACGTTCAGCATGACGAACGAATTGAGTGAATATAATGTGAAGAGTGTATTCAGCAGGGCTTTTCAGATCCGTTGCTAAATCTCTTCTCATAGTTCCGAATTCTTCACCATTTGAAAATCTCAATCTCTGCATTGAAGTTGCGGATAAGGGAGGAGGTAGTTGAGGAGAAGGTTCTATGTGCTCTTTGACGGGAGCATTTGAAATCGGAGATGAAAAAGTTGGTGGTTTGGATTTAAGGGTAAACTTATTATCCTCGGGCAAAGGAGAAGGTAAATCGATAAATCCTTTATGATGGAAGAGAGGAGGATCTTGTAATTTAAAGTTATTTGTAGGCTCAATCATGTTAGGAACTTCGATTAAGTTATGGCTTGTATGACTTTCTGGGTAGATTTGATCATTGAACGATGAATTCTGATTGTTTCCTTTCATTACAGTATCGGGTTGGATTTTCTGGATAGGTAGAGCTTTAGCAGTATTATATTCTATTACGTGGGCAGTAACTTCTTGAGATCCTTCGGATAAGGCCAAGGATATTTCAGATTCGTTAGGAATAGTAGTCTTAGGAGGTTTAAAACTTGATATAGACTGACGAGGACCAATTTTGAAGCCGCTAGTATTTTGATAAATTTCATTTGGATCATTTTGTACTGATGAGCCAATCATTGAAGAACCAAGTTTTATGTTGTCTTCAGAAAGGTCTCTACTATCTTCTGCTCTTTGAATACTAGATATATTTGAAAGGTCTGCCGACATTTCATATTCTTGATTTAGTTCAGTAGGAGGAGAATTTATATTTAATTGAGCAGTGGAGTCTGTAAGATCGGATGCCGGTTGATCGTTAATTATTTGATCATTGCTAAAGTTAAAACCAGGACTTGGATCTTGCCCATGCATCATATCAAAACGGTTAGAAGTACCATGGGTATCATCATTGTGGTTTTCAAATTCGTCTCCATTCCCGTGAGAATAAAGTTGATTTAGGTCGTCATAACCTTCTTCGCTTAAGTTTTGATTAAATTCCATTCCTTGCTGAAGAGATTGCTGATAATGCTGTTGTTTCTGATCCAATCCAGATGGATATTCCTGATCTGATAAATCGGGTATTTCGATCATCAAGCTATAAGTTCTGATAATCCGGTAGTATCGAGCTAGATCTGTTCTTCTTATAACTATGATGATTATCTTTTCTTTACAAACTCGGACAATTAACGAGTGAGAAGAACGATAGAAATTAAGGAATTTCTTCAAAGGAAGAGTGTTTGCAAATTAATTACTAATAATGACAAGGAAAGTATGACTTTTGAGCTTGTTTTAACGAGATCAGAGAAGTTTCCAAAGAACCTTTCTTGTTCTCTTATGTTTCTTGTATTAATTTTGTGTTTTTTTGGCTTCTCGTTGTTTTTTTTGTTTTGTTAGCTTTTGTTTTGATTTTTGCTGTATTAACAAAGGAGGTAAAACAAAGCAGATTCAAAAAATTTTCAGTTTTGTAAGAGATTCCGATAAGTAACCTTACCTTTTGGTAGTGTTGGAGTGACTAGTTATTGGAATTGACTAGACATTCGTTGTTGAACGTGCGTTGAGCCGCTTCTACATTGGTGGTTGCATTGGAACTATTTTACAATCTAAGCTTTCATTATCAGAGATTAAGTGAAAATCTGTCTATCGGTATCTTGTACTTTGTTTCACTTTGGTGGCCATGGCAAACTACAGTTATGGCTGGCCATCCCTTCTCAGACATGCAAAATGCTCCTATAATTAGACAGGTCAAGAGACCTTACATGCACAGGAGCTCATTGTAGCCCTCATCGCTTCATTCTCGTAATCATAATGTGACATACTATTGTCCTTGGGAAAAGTTGTGGCAGTTCACTCTCGATGCGCATTAGACTCTTTCAAATAGACGACTTGGTCTCCCAGTAGATTCTTATTGAAACTCCATCTTCATTTTGTTGTTACGGCATTGTCCCTTGGAGGAAAAATTGTTGAAAACGGTCAAATGACAGTTGCCAACGGCATTCTTCCCACTCTCACAATGACATTCACCTTCCCACCACATGACACATTCCTCTCGTCTCTCTTCCCTAAACCCTAACCCTGCCAGCACCTACTTCTTTTGTGATTATACTTTATCTGAATAACGTCCGTAAAATAAACCTTTTTTTGAAGTCCTTTTTTTGCACCCGTACAACCAATTTGTACACCCGTACATCATTTTATACATCCGTACATCGGGAAATTTGAAGATAAGATCGAAAATTTTTAAAGCTAGCCGCTGAACAAGATCCATATTACTCATCTATTCAGCTAAACTCTGGGTTTAATTGGTGTTTAAAGGCGGATTTATATTGAAAAATGGCTTCGCAGGAATCTATCCATGATATCCCCATGCTTATAAATCAATTTTTGGCGACTGCAGATGATGAATCGCTGGTTTATAAAAGATTTAGTCGAGAATTGGCACAATTAATCGCCAACGGCGAGTTATCCCTATTACAGTTCATTCAGAACTTGGGATCTAGCTTAACTTCGGATAATGACTTGATTAGAATCAAATCTGTTCAATGTATGACGTCTACTTTCCAGGATCTTGACAAATCAAAACTATCAAAACAAGACATTCATGTTGTGCTTCAATTTTTTATTGCCAAATTTGATGATAAAGTTTGTTTGATTCATATATTACAAGGTTTGAACTCTATTATATTGTTTAATAACTTTATTCCAAGTATCAATGGGAACTATAATCTATTATTGACTACTCTTCTTGAAAAATATGATCCAAAGAAGAGCCTTGCTAAAATCAGATATGAGCCTTTCCAGATATTGAAAACTTTGTTCAATAACCATTTGAAATATATTCAATCCAAGCCTGCAGATCAGGACTTGTTTGTGAAGGCGTTCATACATATTGCAAGTGGTGAAAAAGACCCACGTAACTTATTGGCTTCTTTCGACCTTAATTCTGATATTAACCAACATTTGTCTTTCGATCCTCAAAACGAACTTCACGAAGAGTTTATAACCGACTTATTTGATGTTTGTTTTTGTTATTTCCCAATCGCTTTCACTCCTCCTGCTAATGATCCATATAAAATCACTGCTAATGATTTAAAAGTTCATTTGAGAAATACCATTTCTTCTCAAAGTTTATTTGCTAAAGATAGCTTTCCTAGTTTGATTGAAAAATTAACTTCTACTAACCCAACTGTAAGAAATGATGTATTGAAAACCTTATTATTATGTGTTCAAAATTATAATAATGAAACCTTATTACAGTATTGGTTGACTATTTGGGATTCTTTAAAATTTGAAATACTTCATAACGAAGCAGTTGTATTTAATCCAACTCTCAACATCATTATACCTAACGACTTTGAATCCAAGATCGATGATTCCGATGAAAATAAGTCTTTGCTATTCACTCTACAAATTTTGATGGAATTAGCAAATGTCATGAATCAAGAAAATCAATTAGAGAACTATTTATCCACCGTCACCGAAGAATTGAAAAAAAATTTGAAATCAATCAACGATAAAACATTCAAACAATCTGTTGTCCTCTTAAGTTCCTTGGCCTCTGTTTCAAGTGAAAGCTTCAATTTCATCTTGAAATTCTTATTCTCTGCTCAGGTATGGGGCAAACTCATTAGAAGTGACGTTGATGAAAAGATGGATATCGAAGAAGTCCCCTCTAAACAAGAAACAGAAATCGATATTAATGAAGTCGATCAGAAGCAATCTGAAGACGTGGTTTTCAATGTATCTAAACAGAGAGAACTTATTGAGAATTTTGGTTTCGTTTTATCAGCTTATCATATTTTATCTCACAAAGACTCATCTTTTGCCAGTGGTGGAAATAACTTGAAGTTGTATAAAGATCATTTATTGATATTCTTGGGTCAATTATTACAAACTTCTTCGAATATCGAGAAGACTTTAAAATGTAAAGTTATTCAACAATTGATCAAATTAACTTTATTGCATGGATTATTGAATAACCAAGACTATTCCCTTATTTTTGGCTGGTTGAATGACATTTTATCAAACAGTATTGATTATAGCGTTACAAATTGGGAAAAAGATATGGTTTTGACCGAAATTATTAACGGTTTAGTAAAATGTATGACTGATGAACATGGTCCTGCTAAAATTGAAAATGCACATGCAACTGAAACTAGCCTTACCAACAACATTACCTTGGTAATAGATTTAATCTTACCTACCTTGCTTGCTTTATTAGATAATGTTCAAAGTGATGATGAAATGGTGAATTTTTCTAAAATCTTGAAAATTATCGATACATTATGTGTCAATTATCAATTTTTGGATGTATTGACCGTCAGGTTATTGAATAAATTATCTCAATTCAATCAACTGACATTATCTACGGACTCCAAGTTATTTATCTTCAAGGAAATAATTGATTGCTTTATATCTTCCTTTAAAAAGACACAATCTGTTAATCAATTTCTTACTAATTCTTGGTACAAAAATTTCGTACCTCGTTTCTTAAATGTCGTTTTGCAATCAGATGATAAAACAGTAATTGAGTTAAGCGGTGTTTTAATTGGTTTAATTATTAAATATATTGACAAATCAAAACATCAAAGCATTCTCAATGATTTTGTTGGATGTTTCTTACTTAATCAATCTAATCTCAATATTAATGTTCCTGGTGTCACTCAGCAAGTCAGTACTTATATTGGATTATTCAACAATATTTTATCAAGTGTTGATAGAAAAACAAACTTCGAGGAAGCTTTAGGTTATTCCATTTTCAACTTAATCGACAATATTTCTAAATTTGCTTATAGCTCTTTCAACGAAGATATTGACGAGTATTATAGAATCGGATATCTTCAAAACTTATCTATCTTAGTTAATAAATTTACCAAACAAAATGATGAAACCAATGGTGAAAGAATCTCACAACTCGTTTTTGAAATAGAAAAATTCAACAATTCAAACACAGAATTGACCAAAAATCAAATTGAAACGTTTGAAATATTTACTTGGATATTGAAAGCATTAGTTTTACGATCAGATAGATATGGATTCCAATACACAGATAAATTGATTGACTGGTTGAATAGCTCCAATTTGTTATTTGCTCAAATAGTTTCTGAGGCATTCTATATCATCATGATAGACTTACCAATCTTTACTACTCAATCGGTAGTTGTGCCGGGGCAAAAATCGGTCATTTCTGGTGTTAGTAACTTGAATGTTAGATTATTGTATAAACAACAGCTTTTTGAAATAATCTTACCAAAATTAATTTCTGGCTACGAAGCTGGAAAAAATCAGGAAATTTACTTAAATTCATTATCTATCATATTAAATAATATTTCAACTGCTATTTTGAAACCTCACTTAAATGAGATTTCACCTTTGGTATTGAAGAGTTTGAATATTAACAATTCTCTTATTTTGGAAGCTTCGTTGAGCACCTTTGAAATTATCATAAGTGAGTCTCCAGATACAGTTACACCCCATTTATCAAATATCATACCCAAATTACTAAGTTTAGTTTCTTCTAAAAAGGTTATTAATAAGCAACTCATTAATACTGAAAAAATCCGTTTGTTGGCATTGAAATCATTGATGGGTATTTTTACCTCTATTGATTTACCGAATGTCATTCCATATCAAAAAAGTGCTATAAACAAATTGGAAATTGCATTAGACGATAAGAAGAGGGTCGTAAGAAAGTACGCTTCTGATGTTCGTCAAGTTTTATATGAACTTGGTAGATCATAAATTTCATTCTAATAGACTGTATATATGTATATATAAATTTATCAACTTCTATATATTATAATTTTGAGAATGGTGTCAACCTCAATCCATTCTCCATTGCAATTTTTTGGAGATCAGTCTTGTAGTTTATTCCATAGGTTTTCAAATGATCGAAATCTTCAAATCTTATATCCCCATTCTTTTCTGAGTCTTCAATAATCTCATCCATTATATTCTTGATAACTCCAATGAAATAATCAGGCTGTTCGGCATGGACTAAATGTTGACCTTTAATATCGACTGGGTGAACAACTCTACGTAACTCATTTCTGAGCTCTTCGGTGGCATTCTCACCTACGTGGTCTTTATCACCGACAATATGGTAAACCGGGGTAGTGATCTTTTGGTAAATTGGATAAGATCTCAAAATAGTAGGGGTTCCAGAAAAGTAAATATAGTACTCTTGCAAAGGTTCGGTAATCGATTCGATATAACCATCTTGTGGGTTTTGATTCGGATCAAAATCATCTTCCAACATGTTTTTCAAGATAGTATCATCAAACTTTTTGTAGAAACCATGCTTTTTATAACATTTTATAATGGCATCCTTAAAATCTTCGCCATCTTTGACTGGATATTTATTATAAACCATTTTTCTTTTATTCCACATATTGAATGCCATGTTAAGGTGTCTGTACCTTTTTTCATCGACATGGGCAACCGGATTAAGACTTATAACTGCGTCGAATAAAGTTGGCTCCAAATATGCAATTATTAACGCCATTTGACCAGCCATAGAATGACCTAGAACAACGTTAGTTACATTTGGTTGTAAAAAAACAACTTTTTCATCGACTTTTGTTATTTTAATAACATCTTTAGCGTAATCTAGCCAGTTTATCTCATGACCTAGTTTACCTTTATTCAACACTGCTGAGTGACCATGGTTAACCGTATCAGGAGCAATTACACAGTTTAAATTGGGAATCATTTGATAAAATTTATCAACATGGTAATGCCAAATTGCCTTTGTCATTCCATTTCCGTGGATCAAGAATAAATTTACTTTTTTCCCTGATTCAATTGGGTTCTTTCGTTTGTATATCCTATAAGCAATTTTCAACTGATAATCTTCGGCATTATCTGAAGGTTTCTCTAAAACCACTGATCCTCTAAACCTTGGGCCGGTGGCATTGACTACCTTAGTGGTGTAGGAGTATAAATCAGAACTTTCTGGAATCAACATTGAACTTCTTAGTTAATTGGAAAGCTTTTCAGTTCAATTAGACGAGCCAATTTATATGTCAAATTTTGACCTTAACGAAAAAAAAACTCAATGCGCTCAAATCCCAACAATTTAACTTCTGGATATCTAGATTTGAAAAAGCTATCATCTTCAAATTGCCAATTCAAGCTAGTTAATTCCTTGTTAATCGGAAAATCGTAAAATTCGCATACTAAGGTAACACAAATATATGCGTAGGTTTGCCATTATGCACTGGTGGAAAGAATCTTAACTAAATTTATTGATAGGTTACAATAAGAGATCCTCATTTCGGTTTTGGATCACCAAAAAGAAAGGTGGATGTAAGGTACTTTTGTTCACTTGTTCATTATCAAGCATATGCTTGTTTGTTCGAGAACAATGACCTCCTTGTGGTTTTGAGGTTTAGTTTTATCCGATTATCCTTAAACCATTCGTAATAGTCTTTATTACTGACTAATCGCATCAAGTTTCTATCTATTCAAAACAAGTCAGTTCATACACTCTAAGATTAGCGAACAATTTTTTCTATAAAGTGCATCTCCGACCACTCTATTAAGTCTCTTTCAGTTCCATCTCTTTCAGCCATATCATGGAAGGGGGGTTTACTTTATTTGGTCTGCAAAAGTTCAATCGTTGTTAACTTGGTGAGATTAGGATACCGTCAGGATAAGCATGTTTTTGGTGAACTAGATGAATGTCCGCAAAAACTTTGGCATCAGCAATCTTGCCTTGCATGCCTTTTTTTCAGGTTGAATGGCATGTGACTCTTCGTTCAAACAGGGCCGTCGTGTTGGTAAAGAGAGACTGATTGGTAATGAGCTCTGACAATTTTTCGAAAACAAGATTGCAAATTCCTGTATATACGTATTTTCCCAAAACAAAATTGCAGCCAAACTCATGTAAGGTCTAAACCGGGGAGCCATTATTGAATCAGTCAGAATATGCCACGGCAAGCATTGCTCAAACAAGGGGGTTATGCCCCCAGGCTTTCACCTGCATTCGGTTTGATCCTTCATTCAAGAAAAGCAAGTGAGTTATTCAATGTATACATTTATGTAACTTTTCCATATATTGTGTTATAATATCCTCTGTTATTTAGTGAAATAAATAAATATCTTAAATAAAAGAAGTATTTTAAATACTTAAGAACTATTGCATACCTTGGAGATGCGCTACATAGTCATTCCGCATCTCAACTGATATCGTACAAGCTACGCAGTCTTTAGGGAAATATTCTGGTACCGCTATTTTGGTTAATACGGTAGGTGAATGTAACTGCAAAATAAGAGGTGGATTTCCAAAGCCATTATAACTTTGGGAACGGCTTTTCTGCCAATCCATGTTCCATGGCTTTTTTTTTGAGATCATCTCTGTAGTCAATACCATGGAGTTTTAAGTAATTCAGATCTTCATATCTTATATCCCCCGTCTTTTTTGAGTTTTCAATGATTTCATTTATCACGTCGTTAATTATTCCAATAAAATAATCTGGTTTTTCGGCGTGAAGTATATGATTACCTTCAATATTAATTGGATGGAGAACTTTTTTCAATTGTTTTCTGAGATCTTCAACAGCTTCTTCGGATGCAACATCATTATCACCAACAATATGATACACCGGAGTAGATATTGCCTTGAAGATCGGATACGCTCTTAAAATCGATGGAGTGCCCGCAAAGTATGTGAAAAATTCCTGAGAGATTTCAGTATTGGTATTAATGAAACCATTTTGAGGGGTTTGATTTGAGTCAAAATCATCTTCCACCATATTCTTCAAAACGGTATCATCAAATCTTTTGAAAAACCCATGTTTTTTATATATTTTGAATATGACGTCCTTGTAATCGTCACCATCTTTAGCCGGGAACTTATCGAAAATCATCTTTCTATCATTCCACAAATGAAATGCCATATTAAGCAAGCTATATCTCTCTTCGTCAATGTGAGCAACCGGGTTATAGCAGATGATACTGTCGAATAAAGTTGGTTCCAAGTACGCAGCAACTAATGAAATATAACCACCCATCGAATGGCCAAGTAGAATATTGGTTACGTTTGGTTGCAAAAACTCGTCACTCTCATCTATTTTGGTTATTTTTACCATGTCCTTAGCGAAATCAAACCAACTGAGTTCATGACCCAACTTACCTTTATTCAATGCCGTTGATTCCCCATGATTGGGTAAATCGGGAGCAACAACGTAATTCAAATTAGGGATCAATTGAAACAATTTATCCACTTGATAATGCCAGATTCCCTTATTCATACCATTTCCATGAACCAAAACTAAATTAACCTTTTTACCCGATTCGATTTGGTTCTTCCGTTTATAAGTTCTATAAACTATTTTCAACTGATAATCTTCAGCATTATTAGAAGGCTGTTTCAAAACCACCGACCCTCTAAACCTTGGCCAAGTTGCATTGGTGACTTTATTCTTGTAAGAGTACAATTCAGACGTTTCTGGAATCATCATTGCTGTTTATTGGTAGTGTTTTGCCTGATTTGTAAAACGTCTAATGCTTATATATATATATATATATATAACTCCTACATAAAACCAAAAAAAAAAAAAATAAAAATAAAAATGCGCTTTAGGACCGTTTTAAACCTCGGACTGGGGAAACAACTATTTGAGGTTGATAATATACTATGAGAATAGCCAGAAGATAGCCACGGAATATAACCACGGACTTATACTAATATACAGATAGGGGATTTTAATGCAGAGGAAGTATTTTCATAAACCTTTTTTGTTGGTACAAGAGAATCTACTCCTCCTCATCAGAATCATCGTCCAAACCAACTGGTGCTAACCCAGGGGTTAATCCAGGGGTAGAGATAAGTCCCTTTTTAATTTTTTCGTTAAAGTCTTGAGATTTCTTATCAAGTTTATTATTCTTTGAAGCTTTGGCTTTATTATATTTCTCGTTGGTTAATTCTAATATTTCGGCTTTTAATTGATCAATTTCATCTTTCACATCAGGATCGTCTATATCAGTTAGTCTTCTTAAGGTGGAAGAATTCTTTTTAACTAGTTTTTGTAAATATTTACGCTCCTCTTCTGGTAATTCATTAGAATTATCAAGCTTGTGATTCTTTATTATATTATATTTGACCAACTTATTGAACTTCTTATTGGCTTCCACTTTTTTGTTTATAGCTTTGTTCTTCTTGATTTTGTTGGCTTTGTTGATTTTCTTGATCTCTTCAGTGGATAACTTATGCTTGGAATTCATCTGGTTATTGATTATTTCAGTGGACGAGAGCCTGGAATTGACTGCTGGCGAGTCTGTCACTGTTGAGCCCGGCAAGATGTTTGCAAAAAGCTTGTTCACAGTGGATCTGGCCTGCGTTTGCGATGACTTGGATTTAAATGACATCTTACTTTATTTCGTGTAGTATAAGAGTAAAGGATGGTGTTGGTGATGAGATGACTTTACTTTTTTTTTTTTTTTTCTTTCAAAATTTCAAATTCCTGCACATAAACCTTTCAAACAAGAATTGCAGCCAAAGTTCCATACTCGAAGCTTGAACGAGGAGCTCTGGCTGGTCAGTTGTGATTAAGTGTCAGTAAGAGGGCAAGGATGGTCATAAATGTTTGAAAGTTAGGAGCATTTATTTTTTTTTTATCTTATTTATGTTTACCAGCCTTCAGGCTGCTCAGCACACCTAGTTTTCACGAATTTTTGATAAAAATACAATTTTTTTACAATAATTATGAAAAAGACTAAATACATTTGCTATACTTGAAGAGTCCATTGGTTTTATATAAAATATGCAAAGTTATAATTTTTCATCCAATTCGGTAGACAGTTCATCTATTAGATCAGCCAATCTACGTTCGTAACGATCACACCAAAGAAGGGCACAGGCCCCAAAGACTTGTAATACCACCATTGCCAAACCAAGTCTCATACCAGTAGTGAATCGAGGAGCCAAACTGGTATCAAAAATGATTACTCCAATTGGGGTAAGACAAATTTGAGCAGCGATATTTAAAGAACCTAAAACAAAAGCTCTAAAACCAGCACCTCTATTACGAGATGCTGTATTAGCCCAACTAAGAAGAATAGCACTTACCGGTGAGCAAACTCCAGTTAGAGCATAGCCGATGAATTGAGCAATACGGGCAACATCATATTTCACTAATATGGCTAAACCAGTTATCCATATAGCACAGATCAATAGGTAAACTTCGAACCGTTTACCTTTTAATTCAATTAAGACTCCAGCAGCAAGAGTAGCCACTGCTTTAACACCCGATTGAATAGTTGGCAAGTTGTTACACTGATAAACACTATAGCCTTGTGATTGTAAGACAATCGATTGGAACGATGCAGCATATTCAGCAATTTGTTCAGCACTGAAAAGAAGACAAAATAACCATAATTGCCACGAAGTAAGGACACTCCAAATGAACTTTAAATTAAATTTATTATGAGTTTGTTCAGAAGATTGTTCGGTACGTTTAAATAAGTGTTGAATATCTTCACGACTTAAATAAAAATTACCTTTATCCCCGGTAACCGGAGGAATTACAAAGAACCCAGAGATTGCAACCGGTAAACCGATCAACCCATCAACAACCTGAGCCATTTTAAAAGCTGGAATTCCAATATGTTTACCTTCTAAAGCTCCATATAAACCAGATTGAATAATACCTCCTATGATTGGTCCAACACAACCAGCAAATATAAAGATACTGGTTCTACTTGATAATAACTCTGGAGGATAGAAAGTACCCAAGATGTAACTGATTGAAGGAAAAGCCATACCGGCAAGACCACCTTGGAAACACCTTAAAACAAGTTGACTGGTGAAATCATGAGCAATACAATTCAAAATGGTGAAAACAACCCATGATAACTCAAAGGATGGGAAAACAATTCTTGGAGGGAAATAAGCCGTTAAAAGTACCCCAAGTAAACCACCTACGGCATAACAAATATAGTATCCATTATCGATCCAGTTATAATCAGTACCCGATAAATGGAAAGCTTCTTTAAGACCTGCAGTATAAGCATACTGCATTGATGAGTATTCCAAATACTTAATGAAAAAGGTTAAACTAACAAAAGTAAGTAGGTAACAGTCAAGCTTAAAGTAAAGCTTTTTTTCGTAAGCAGTTGAATCGGCAGGATACCAGAAGGTTAAAGACTTTGGTTCTATACTATGGCTTGGTTTTTTGAAGGACCAAAATAGGTTCCAACGCTGTTTGAAAGGTATATTGACATTATCAAAAGTATGTTGTTTCAAATGATCCGAGTTGACGGAAGAGACATAAGTGATATTTTCAACTTTTCCAGTCTCTTCATCTATAATGGTGGGTGAGTGTTTAGTATCCATCGCGATGAAAAACCTTATATTTAGGTTCTTATTCTACATGACATGAGTATATATATATATATCCACTTGGTGATAAGATAACCCCATAAGGTGGAGATAATCATTCAATCAATACGTCAAAGATACGAAGATCATCATGTCAAGGAAGGTGGATTACCGCACAAAACAAATTCCGCACCCTGATTCCGTGTTTTATGGGATATCATCACTACGGTATAGCGGATCGAGCACAGTATTTATAGGTGGCTTACAAGATAAGATAACATGTAGCTGAAGGCGGATACTTCGCGTATTGAAGTACGTAATGAGTTTTGAAGTATGTGTTGAATATTCAAGTATTGTATTGAAGTAAGAACTCGTATTTGAATAATCATCACTAGATTATTGTATCCAAACCAAAAGCCAACTAATAAGCATTGATGACAATCGTTTCAGTCTATACATGGAGGTTTTCCAGTACGTTGAACAAAATGTAGAATACCTGAGACTATGGCCTATCTCATTGCAGCTAAGCGAACGAACGAAAGTTTATTCCTTTTCACAACATGAATGTAAATAGATGTGACGGGTTATATAACATGTCGATGTATGACAGGAAATAGATGTGATGGTAATAATAAGTCAAAGTGATAGGTCAAAGTGATCGATCATTATGTCAATGTGATAGATAATTATGTCAATGTGATAGGTCATTATGACAGTCAATGTGATAGGTCATTATGACAGTCAATGTGATAGATAATTATGGTCAATGTGATAGGTCATTATGGCAGGCCAATGTGATAGGTAGTAATGACACACCCGTGCACACCCCGATTATCTCACGTGACAGTAACTGAAGAGCTCGGTCCTGAAGTGAGGGGCGATTCCGCCAGTTACGTAATCCTGGGCTGGATAGACTAAACCGAGGTTCTATCACCAACGACTGCCCCCATAAGCAGATTTAGCTACACCCTTTTATAAATCAGATGCCTGATAACGAGCAGTGTTCCATGGTTTAATCAAAGATATCTTCATATTCATATTCGGGTTCAAAAGAGTTACTTGAAACTGAAATAATTAGAGTGTTGAGATGAGATTTTTGTAACCGAAAAAAGCAAATAATTCTCCAACCTTCAAAATTCACAGTCAATTGTCACATTCATGTTTCAATTTATATAAATATTTGATTGAATTCCCATAATTTTATTTGCTTTGGTTTATCAATTACTATATTTTATTTAACTTATTTTACAAGATGTCTGACTTAGCTGCTGATGGATTCCAAGCCTCTCCTTTCTTCAAAGAATTACACGATGGTTTAGCTGATAATAAAATCAAACAAAAGGCCATTGCTGGTGTTAAGGCTGTTATAGTCATTACTCTTAAGAACAAGGAAGGTAAAGACCAATCTTGGATTTTGGATTTGAAAAATGACGGTACTGTTAAAAAAATTGATGGTTCTTTACCAAAATCTGATGTCCAATTACTCTTGAAGGATGTTGATTTTGTTAAATTGGCTAATGGTAAAGCTAACGGTCAAAAATTATTCATGAATGGTAAATTAAAGGTCAAGGGTAACATGATGAAGGCTACTGCTATTGAATCGGTCTTTAAACAAATTGATCCAAGACCAAAATTATAAGCTCGTATATTTATATTATTGAATATTGATAATTGATTTAACGCTTTCTATCGATAATTGTAGAGGTCTCCATCAATGACTAAGAAGATATCTTGATGATGATGAGAAATGTCCTGTAGTTTGCTTAGAATGTCCATTCCAATCATGGTTTCGCAATCATGATTAAAGTCCTTATCGAATTTGATTGCAAAAACTTTATCGGGCCCAGTATAAATTATGAACTTCCAGGGACTGATCTGGTACACTTTTGCAATTGTTTCGTCAATCTTGATCTTTTTCACTAAATGGTGTTTCTGCAAATCCCATATTCTTATAAATCCATCTTTATATCCTCCAACCAAATACCCATCACTTAAAATAATGTCTACAACCCCACTACTTGTAATAAACTTATCTGAACTGATTTGGTATCTTTTACCTAAGTCATACCCCTGGATCACTCCCAGCTCATACCCAACGTACATCACTTTCCCCTGGCATTCGTACTGATCGGCGTATTCTTCGTCTTCTCCAGATTGCTCGTCTCTAATGACAATACTGTTCACAGCATCATGAAGATTGTTGATCCGGTTGTACTTGTGTATAACTTCCCCCGACCCACATTCGTACACTAGAACCGATCCGTCGTCCCCCCCGCTAACAAAGTTTCGTCCTTTACCAATTATTGCAATCGTATTGATTCTCAGAATGGGTCCTCGGAAGCTTCTGATTGGGCCTCCAATGGTTTCTTCGTTGATACTCCATAATTTGATTTGCATATCCAAGCCTATACTCATCAAAACTTTCCCAGAAGGGAGCATCTTCAATTTAGTAACATCGTTATAATGAGCTCTCACCAATTGTGGAGTATCCTTCGTTGTTAAATTGAATATTCCAATGTCCCCAGTGTTTGTCCCAAATATTATCAAATTATGACTAACTAGACTTATACTGGTAACTTTGAAAGATTGTTTGAGTTCTTTGGGAGATAGCATCATTCGCTTGTTCCACAACTTGTAGACAGTCTCTTTAATTTGTAACTTATAATGGGTTTCACCTAATTTGTCAAACTTAACTTCATTGGTCTTTTCTTTGATCTCATTATCTCTGAAAATTTCCAACTTGGACTCATTGCACTCCATTATATAATGATCTGCATTTGCATTTGGATCCTCAGGTATTTCTGATATATAGAAAGAACCTCCTTGAGAATCGTGGAGCGCCTCTTCAAACGTGGGATCGATTATCACCGACTTCATTGCAAAAGAAGAGTTAGTTGAACTGTCTCACCAAACTAAAAAAAAAAAGACAAATATCAACAGCTTCATTACTTTGACCAACCTTGCTCTACTGTTCATTTTGTATTACTGAGCTTGCCAACATGTCCCAGTTATCCGGTGAGCAGTCGCTCACTATGTTCTTTGACAACGAATTCAACCCTTCAACCTATGTTGATGCGTTATTCCAATCAATCATTACAAAATCTAATCCCGAGCTAAATTTAAACCATTCAACTCCAACTCCGGCAACTTCTTATAATAAAAAGACTTTGAATTTACTATCAAATAATCTATCAGATATAACCACCCATCTAGATTACTATACGAACGAATTGTCAACCGAATTATCAACTCAGATTAACACATTGAAGCAAACTTCTTCCTCAATTCTTTCAAATCTGACAAATAATGACAATATAACAAGACTACAATACTATATTACTTCATTGAATCACTCAATAGTTTCATTGAATTCGGAAATAGAGTCAGTCAAGTCAAAAAACTCCACCAACGAGATTAATAACAAGTCGATAAAAAATTTGATTGATTTAAAGTTAGTTAGATCCAATTTGTTAAAAGTTTTAACCAATATTGAAAAATTAAACTTAATTATTAATAGTAAAGACGGTAGCAGTATTAACTTACAAGAATTTCAGGAGTCAACTGATTTGCTATATGAGACTTTGAAACAGAGTTTCACTAAAGAATTATCAAATGACGAAAAACAAGATCTAGTTGATAATTGTAACGATTTGATAGACTTATTACCATTATTTAAAAATTTGAATAATTTCTATCCAGTTTACAAAAAATTTACAAGTGCATTAAGTGAAGATTTGAACAAGCTTGGAAAATAAATTTAAATAAATACGTTTATTTATAATGCAAAAAAGTTGTGACATACAAATATATATAAGGAAATAAATTTTGTATAATAGATTAAAACGAAATAAAGTTGTCATCAAAATAGTCAAATTGGAAAGGCCAATTTGAAAAAAAAAAAATTAATTAGAATAATGTTGAAATAGATACATTGAAAAAGTTGAAAACGTTAAAGTATGAGTAAAAATACAAGATATTTTTTTCAAAAATTCTTCGATTTTTGATTTCTTATCATGAGCTGTTTGAAGAGTCTGAACGTTCGTGGGTATTGTAATATTTCTTATCGGGACGTTCTTTGGGATCTTCACCTTTTTTAGGAGATTCAATATCGGTTTTTTTAATATTGTCTTGGTTTGATTGGGATTCTAAATCGATTTTATTAGCATCAGCATCAGCAGAAGCATCATCTTTATTCTTTTGACGTAAATCACGATTCTTCTTTCTTAAAAATGAAAATCCAGCGTAATATATAAAAGTGTTAAATGCTTTGGTAGGGAAAACTTTAATCACCCATTCGTTCGGTATTATTCTAATAAGTGCACCAACTGGTATTGATATGAAACCACACAAGACAGCAGTCGCCCATTGTCCAGGAGTTTGTCTTACAATTGTAAAAGCAGCACCACCAACAAACATAATTAAAACTTGAACACCAACAATTATTAAAAGAATTACAATAAAATACCAATTTCTGAATAAATGTTGGGAAAAATCAAGATTTTCACGAGTGATACGACCTCTTACACTTGAAATTTCATCAGCTTCATCTAATTTTCTAGTAACAACCAATTTGAAAATTTGTAACCAAACAAATGCATTGAAAGTCATTGCATCTAACTGTTTATTTTCATGATTACTTATCGGTTCATTACCGAAAAATAATTGACGACCAGCAAAATGAAGTATAAATGTAATAATCAATTGAGTAATTGATTGGCCAATAATCATTTTCCACATTGATACACTAATTAATGATGCAGTTCTACCAGCTGGTTTTCTATTCAAGAACGAATCATCTGGTTTATCAGTTGCCAAAGCTAATGCAGCTAAAGTATCCATAATTAAGTTAACCCATAACAATTGAACAGCTGTTAAAACTGATTGACCATTTGAAGAAGCAACTGCCGAAACGAATGTTAAAACACAAGCAGTAATATTAACAGTTAATTGAAATTGAATAAATTTTTTAATTGAAGTAGCAACAGTTCTACCCCATTTAATTGCTTGAACAATATCAGTAAAATCATCAGTCATTAAAATAATATCGGATGCTTCTCTTGCTACTTCAGTACCACTGATACCCATTGAAAATCCCACATCAGCCAATTTCAAAGCTGGAGCATCATTAGTACCATCACCAGTAACCGCAACCACTTCACCTGCTTTACGTAAAGTTTCAACCAAAATTCTTTTATCTTCAGGAGAGGATCTTGCTAAAACTCTCAAAGTTGGAGCAATACGATTTCTTTCCAATTCACTTAATTTACGGAACTTAGGACCTTCCATACAAGCGTATTCATTTGATAAATCATCAGAAGTTAAGATATTACAAGATTTTGAAATGGCTTTAGCAGTAATCAAATTATCACCAGTAACCATACGAACACTAACACCAGCATGTTTACATTGTAAAACTGCTTCAGCCACACCTTCTTTCAAAGGATCTTGTAAACCAACAATAGCATCAAGAGATAATTCTTGTTTAGAGCCTTCTAAATTGATTAATAAATCTGGATCTGCTTCAACTTGTTTTGAGGTTTGATTTTCATCATTAACGTCAGTTTTAGTTGATTTTTCAGTTGATAATTCAGCAGGAGGCCAAGAACCAATATTATTAAAATCTTTATGAGCCAATACAATTGCTCTTAAAGCATCATTGGCAAACTCATCAATTTTACTTAAAGCTTCATCACGATCATTACGATCCAATTTAGTAAGTTCATCTTTATTTTGAGTTTTAAACCCACAATTTTTAAAAATAATTTCAGCTGCACCTTTAACGTATAATCTATAAGAGTCGTCATTCAATTTAAAAACGATACCTGACCATTTTCTTGAACTTTCAAAAGGAATTGATTGAACTATATTATCATGATTTGAATCTCTTAAGCTATCCAAGGAATTTTTCTTGAAACTACCAAATTTATCTTGAGCCAAAATTAATAAAGCCGAATCAGTTTTATTACCAAGATAAGGTTCGGTAACCACCCCTAATTGTTGAATTTCATTATGAGAATTTTCATTTGATAAAACTTTTTGGAAAAAAGATTTTTTCTTTGATGGATTATTAGTTATATTAGTTTTAGAAGCATCATAATCATTGTTAGCAAAAGCGGTTGAATTTAAAATAATATTATCTAATAAAATATTTTTGAAAGAATTAGTGAAACGATCAATAACGGTGATTGATTTTGGACCAGACCCATTAACGGTATCATCAAAAGTTAAAGAGTCGTCACCAAAATAAGCTTTAACAATTCTCATTTTATTTTCAGTTAAAGTACCAGTTTTATCCGAACAAACTGCAGTAGCACTCCCCATAGTCTCACAACTTTTCAAGACTCTTACCAAATTACCATTTTGAGCCATTCTAGTAGTGGCAAAAGCCAAAGCTAAAGTAACGGCCAAGGGTAAACCTTCAGGAACTGCAACCACAATAATTGTAATTGCCACAATGACAATATCCAAAAACTTTTTACCCTTTTGAGCACCTTGGAAATGATTAAACTTCCCACCGGGAGCTATATTAACACAATATCTAATGAATAAAACAATGAAAAGAACAAGAGCAGCCAAAAACCCATACTTGACAATTCCTTCTGCCAAATTATTTAAACGTTCTTGTAAAGGAGTAGTTTCTGGTTCAGTATGAAGACTCAACATGGTTCTACCATGAACCGAGTTGGACCCCACCGCGGTGATCACTGCATAACCATAACCCGATAAGATTTTAGCGCCCGAGATTAAAAAGGGATCTTTAAATTTAATTTGAGAAGAACCAATATCTTCATCGGTTGGTAATTGATTTTTATAGAATCTCAACGCTTCTTTAGCCGGTTTTTTAACAATACTATCAGATTCACCCGTTAAAGCTGATTCATCAGTTTCTAATTCACCATTTATCAAGATACAATCACTTGGAATGACATCCCCCGTTTGTAGATTGATTATATCCCCAACCAACAAATCGTAAATGGAAATCATTTTTTGAGATCCATCTCGTATAACAATAATTTCTCGATCTTCCTTTTTAGCATTAAGACGAGCAAACTGACGTTCCTTCTGATAATCATTAACCGCCCCCACCAAAACAATAATTATAATGGCCACGATAATGGCCACCCCTTCTACCCAGTCGACCTTGGGCATGGGTTCTCCTTCGTCATCGTAGGTGGTGCCTTCACCAAACGTTTCGTATAAACCAAGCGCCAAAGATATTATAGCCGCCACTGATAAAAGTATCAATACTTTATCTTTCAAAGCATCAAAACACAACCGTAAAAAACCTTTGGTATCCTTACTGGGTAACTTATTAGCCCCAAAATGCTTACATCTTGAATGGGTATCGTGTGAAGATTCAGTTATCCCATTTTTACCATCAGTTTTCAATAATTTTAAAACATGCTTCAAATCTCCCAATTCGTACAATTTTTGTAAAGACTTGGGATCGTGTAACTCGGATAACTCATCCACCGATATATCAAACTCAAAAGTGTCTCCAGTTAATGGCGAATTGGAATTTATACTAGTAGAATCATCGTCTGAAGATAATCCGTTATTATTAGCGTGAGGAACCTCCAAGTTCTTCAGTCTCAGTTCCGAGAGTCTCTCGGTAGTCGTTCTAGGGGCCATACTTGCTTTAAACACTCATAGAGCCAGCTCAGAAAAGGGAGAAGTCAACTTATTATAAGGAAAGTAATCGAAAGGCTCTTCCGCTGAAAGAAGGGTAAAAAAAAGCCAAAAAAGTCAAAAAAAAAAAAAAAAAAAAAAAGAGTACAACAAGAAATGAAGCAGTATGTCAACGGAAATTTTGTCAGACAGTCAGACCGATGCAAAGCGCAATGTAGGAGCAGTTGACCAGTTCCGTGATTAAGCAGATAAACTACAGCTTAAAAGTATCATTAATAGGGCAAGGCAAGTGGGCAAGGGCAAAGTGTGTTTGCTCTGGCAAGGTCAGTGTATCAATTCAGCTGCTTCTAGTGTAATTCCATTTTTTTGGTTAAAGATTAGTGTCCTTAAAGTACTTTAAATGGAGGCTGTGTGAGAGGAAAAAAAAAAATAAATAAAACGAAAACCCACTAACAAATCGAAAAAAAAAAAAAAAAGACAAAAGAAACCAAGGAAAGTAATTAATTAATTAAGGCATTGATAGTTGTTCAGTGGAAGTATTGAACAAAGGAAGGTCCGTAAACTCCCACAGCCGTTTAAACAGTTGGACCATCGGTGATTCCAACTGACCCAGGCTAGCCAGTAGAGCTGGCTGTTTCAGAGTTGATGTCACGCGCACCTGAGGGAAATTCCCTCAATCAGGTAGGGCTAAATAGGTTGATTAGCAGCAGGGGTTCCTTGGCTAGTGGTCAAGGCTTGGATTACTGCTCCTCTTTTTGTTGAGATCGTAAAAGCCATCACGATAAGTTTTAGCTTTTGCATCCATTGATAGTTGAAAAAAAAAAAGACTGTACTGGGAAAACCGGTGATAACAAAAAGAGATCCGTACATGTTGCATTTACAAATTTTGCACCCAAAACGCGGGAGGATATTTATTAGGATACGAGATATTTACATGGTTTAGAGGTTCCGGGGATTCATTCTGCGGATGAGTGTGGGTTTGAGTGAGGGTTTGCTTCCAGTTTTGACTCTGGGGTTAATTCTGGTTTCGATTCTGAGGTTGATTCTGCTGCCGATTCCAGGTTCGACTCGGGTTTCGACTCGGGTTTCGATTCGCCTTCTGGTAACCGATGGTTACTGATAAACAAAGATGCAATTAACCCTAAACCAGCAAACCCCAATTGCATGTAGAACACATTTGTAATGGAAGACATGATGATTTTTTTCAAGAAGGTTAAAGTTTCATCGGAGTAGCCACTCAAAGACTCTGTAGAATTGACCAAGGTGTCACCATTGATTTTGGACAACTCTTTAACGATCGAAGCAGGCGCATTGGCAATACGTTGATTGTAGAATCTTTTAATTGAAGCCCCGTAAACCGCATCAGCCAAATTCCCAGAAACCGCTCCACCTAAGGACTTGGCGAAATTCATAAACGTAGTGGTTAAAATGGTTCCCCCCGGGGTCTTGGGGGCACTGATTTGAGCAGCAAGGAATAATGGTTGCATTTGAAGACCAATGGAAACCCCAACAAGGATCAACAACCCGATTTTGTTACCGTTGGAAGAATCCACATCCAACAAACATAATAATCCATTAGCCACTGGTCCCAAAACCGCCCCGACAAGCACAATCGGCTTGACGTATCTAGTCTTATTAATTATAACCGAACACATAATTGAAAATAATATAACCGGGATAACAATTGGTAAAATATGAATACCGGACTTCATGGGAGATGAGTTCCAAATAACTTGAAAATAAATAGCCAAATATAATAACGACGCTATGAAATAGCCAAACACGGAAAAAGTAGCAACCGCAGCAGCAATATTCTGTGGGATGCTGAGTACTGCAGTTGGAATGATTTGATTCTTAGATAAATAATGATTATAAACAAAATATCCAATTATCAAGACTCCTCCAAGGACAAAACATGATATGACTGCGGAAGAATCCCACGAAAATTCACTTCCTCCTCCAAAAGTCAAGGCCAACAAGAAAAGAGTCCATCCGGCTGACATTAAGAAGACTCCCATATAATCAATAGTCAATAATTTCTTGAAAAGATTACCCTTGGGGAAAGGTGGATTGAAGGCAAATCCAAATAATACTCCGGCAAGTCCTCCAATTGGTAAATTTATATAAAAACACCATCTCCAACTGGCCGAAGATGAAGTGAATGCACCACCGATAATCGGTCCAACCACCGAAGCAACTAAAAAAACAATACTTAAAAGGGCAAACGATGAGGCCCTATTAATACTAAACAAGCTTTTGGTAGAATGAATTGGTACAACCTCACTAACTATAATGAAAACTAACGATTGAACTCCTCCTCCTCCAACCCCAGCTAACACTCTTCCTCCAATTAATGTATTCATATTATTTGCTAACGCACACATTAAACTACCAGCTTCAAATATAATCAACGAAATATACATACTATATTTCCTTCCAAACATAATCGATAATTTCCCCCATATAACTGTGAATATAGTAACACTAAGTAAAAATCCACTCGAAATCCATCCAACTTGATTGAATGCATCGAATTTATTCCCAACCACACTCAATAAAGTAACAATAATCGTTTGATCCAAAGCAACAACAAATAAACACAATAAAAGCGCAAATAAACAGGTTAACAACTTCATCCCCGTCAAATAATGATCATCTCTTTGCGTCCCATCACCAGCATCCGATTCTTTAAATTTATGTTCTTGTATTTCTTGACTTTCAAGTTCGTTCTCATTAATTGATCTTGGTGCTTCATCACTAGGTAAGCTCTTGTTATTCCCACTGACTAGACTGGTCACAGTAGATTCTCTAGATACCATTTTGTAATTATGTCAAAAAGTTCATCTGAAAACCTTAATTGATTGTGACAGGTTGGTTCATACTTATAGGTTTGGTATTCGGTAGTACCGAGATGGACTTAACAAAAAAAATTTTTTTTGCAGTCAAATTCGGTAATAATGCGGGCGAGAGGCGGGTTTAAAACGGGATTAGGTATATTTCCGAGTGGACCTACCGTTTTTTCACCTATTTCGTTATAGCCGTTCGAAGGGTTTAGCACGTAAGCTGTCATTTTTGGGAAGCAGCAAATGCTGATTCGATGGTTCACCTATGAGTAACCTCCGGCTGGGGTGAAGCTCAGTGTTGATCGTAGCCAATTGATCGTCTCGCCACTGGATTAGTGTTGCTCGACTCAAATGTGAATCCGATTCAAGAAATTATGACAGATGTGTCAAAATGGGCTTTGCAGCTGTCTCGGTGATTGAAAAAACATTGGCAATGAAACCTGGAGTTTGCGATGCTTTCGGTGCACTAAGATTAGCAAACGGGATTATAACTGGGACTATTGGGACTCTTGCTTGCACGTTTCAGGGAAAATTTGCAACCAGGAGGTAAGCCGAAAGAGTAAGGCTATTGATATGTTTTGCAGTAGCAGATCGAGTAGCTGGCTATCTCCCGAGGATCCCCAACTGAAAGATTTAAAATGGGATTACCAAATTTTCCTAATGGCAACATGTAGTGGACTTTTCGATATATGCTCTTTGAGCTTCATAGTTACGAAGGTATCACCCAGGTGTATGTGAAATTATTTCGTCCTATAAGTTCAGTCTTAGTATGTGGTTTTGTCTCAACATCTGTAGATGAAGCAAGCAACCAGCCAATTGACAACAGTTTTATAATGTGCATATGGTTGGTCGTTTTGGAATAGTTCTCTTTAGATTCAATATATATACTATCAGTTAAGAAAACTAGTGACTAGAGGATCAGAGCACCGGGATTTCTTAATTATTGGTCTAGGCTCGAAATATAATTGTTCAGAGCAAAAACCAAGCATTTCATCTATTGATGTTTTTATAATCGAGTTTTATTTCTTAATGAAAAATATTCCTTTATAAAGGCACTTTCTTTAAAAAAGTGAAAGGTGTTTCTCCATGGCTCCATTATACATCGTATGACGAACTTGTTGAGACGTAAGAGGATTTATGAATAAAATCCGTACATGTGTTTGTGAACTATGTTGCAAAATTATAAATAAATAAATGAAAGAAAATACTACTTGAATGAAGATTATGAATGAAATTCCTTATATGTTGTTGTGTAATAACAGGAGCTCGAAGGGATGGAACAGTGATAATTGTATTAGTTAAATAGGTAACCATTCGTCGATGAAATTTATCCGTCTATTTTTTTTTTGAAGTCACTTGGTTACTTTTATCATATAGAAAAAGTAATTCTTCTCTCTCTCAGATCTTATAATATATATTCTATATTGCAAGATAATCTATATTAGTTTATTCTTGTTATAAAACCAGTATATTGGATCTTCAGGCTGTTACGTTACATTTTAATTTTGCAGCTCATTATAATCGTGTTACACCCGTACATACGATCTCAAATAGTCATTAGTCTCTCTGCTTTTATATTCCAACTGAGTACCTTTTATATTAATATTACTTTTGTTACATTACTTTTCAATTATGATTTATTATATTCAACGCATGAAAAGACTCATCTTTGCAGTATTGTTAGTAATTTACACACCGTTTAAAATAATTAACGATATATTATACCTTATGATAATTGGTCAAGTATTTGATAAACAAGCAAAAATAGAATATGGAAAATGTCTTTGCACTCTCGGCGAAACAGTCATATCAGATTTCGAGGAGACACTCAAATAAGTTGTCAGACCATGAAGGTCTGCAGATGATGTACTGGTATATCTACATTGAACGGCATAATACATCATCAAATAAAAACACAAACTATACTTAAAGATTAATCTGACTGTATCGATTTAATCCACTGTGCTACCAAGTATTAGTATGTATCTGACTAATACCATTTATGCCTGTGTTATGGTCAACCGTACTAGAACCATGTATCTAATACTAATGGATACTGGTGGTTGGTTATGGGTCTGATCTACCCACATAACCCGATATATATTAATGGCATCATTGAAGCCTAGAAAGACAAAATTTGATAGCAAGCGCTTAATACCATAAGTTTTTGGCGATGGAGAACCCGTTGAGCACAAATACGTCCAAGAGTGGGTCCGAAGTTTATGTCCGGAAACGGGACCCATATTTTTTTTCACGTATATGTATATAAACTCGATCAAAAGGTAACTACATGGAGCAATAGATAGAGCGAATAGCTTGAATAAACTGTTAAATTGTTGCTATTTTTATCGGGTTATGTGGGTAGATCAGACCTTTATCGACCACGTATATCTATACTATATTTGTATAGACATATGTTCCAGTATGGACGACCATAACAT